CCCAGATCCTAACCACTGAAGTGGGGACATTTCCAAGGAGAAAAGACATGTCTCACATCCCTGGTGTTGGGGGGGCAGGAAAAGAAATCCATGTTTGATCCCAGCCCAGGAGATATTCCCATCTGGGTAAGAAGCTCAGTGAAGAAACATTCCTTTCCCAGGGCTTTTGGGAGGTCCAAGGGCCATGTCTGAGTTATACCCAGTTCCATGTTGTCAAACTCACACAGCTGGAAAAACTTCAGGAGCACCCAAGCTCCTGAAAGGGTCTTGGGTGCCCCCAAGCTCATCCACCTTCCCTCCACTTGTTTTGCTTGAATTAGAGTGGGAAAATCAGTGGATTTTCCTTCTGGGTGTGTTCATCCTCCTCCTCAGGCACGTGGCAGGATGGAGACCCACCCATCAGGATGCCAATTTACCCAAAACGACCCAAAACGCGTAAGGAAAGTTCTTCCTTCAGCTTCTTGCCGGTGCTCTCCGCCGAGCCCACGAGGTGGTGCTCTCGGATGTGCTTTGGACACCAGGAAAACATTCCAGGATGCACTGGGAAAACGCCTGGGAGTGCCAAGGTGTGAAGCTGATCCCCACCAGCTCTGGGACGCTGCCTCTTCCCCGCCAGGATAAATGGGATCTGCTCTTCCTCCTGCCGATCAGAAATGTAAATCCAGCCATTTCGTGGGATGAATCCAACACCAAGGAACAGCTGGGTGTGTCCCCAAATCTTTCTGTGATCTCTGTTCTCCTGTCTGATGCTGGAGGGGAACCTGCACTGGTGTCCCAGCTCTCACCTGCTGGCAAAAAATCCTCCTGGGAATGATCCTGAGCCTGGTGTGAGTCTTATGGGTTCCCTTGGAGTTCTATTCTGACACCAAATCTTTGAGATCTTCCCCATCCAGTGGGTGCAGAGCCACACAGCCCCACAGTGACGGGGCTTTCCCATGCCCAGGAGGGCAACTCGCATCTCCAGGGGCTCCTTCAAGTTATTCCCCCCCCCCCCCAAGAGTTTTCCCCTCACCAAACAAGGTGTTTGGTCACTGCCCTGAGCGAGCCTGGGGTCAGCCCAAATGCCAGCCCTTGGGATGATAAGGAAGACCAGGGCTGGATGAACCCCCATGGATGTGGCAGTGGCAAGATCTGGCCCATGTCCCCCCTTCCTGCCCCTGCACCACCTCATAGCCCAGCCCAGCCCCTTGGAGTGCTGGTTCCCGGCAGGAAATCCACGGCATCATGTGTGGAATGGCGAAACAACAGGGCTTTGGGGGCAGATGCTCCAGGGAGAAGGGTCTATTCACCTCTTGGCAGCCCCACACCAGGGCCAGGGGACACCCCCGGCTCCCGCCCACGCCGGGTTCCCCCATCCCTGTGAGAGATCCCCTTGTGCTCAGATCTGCGTCTCTCCCTGGCCTTTCAGCGAGGGGGATTTGCTGGGGAAACACAGCCCCGGCCCCTTTGTGCAGCCGCTAATGCTGAGTGACTGCTCCTTTGTGCCGCCGGCAGCGCCCGCTCCGCGGCAGCCGCCTGGGAACAGCCCCGCCACACAATGGGGGTGACCTCAAAGCAAACATTGACTTAAAATCGCTGTTAACCAGGCAGGAACACCGGGACCCCTGGGAAACACAGCCCCCACCAGCGCTGGGGCTTTGTCACCGGAGGCAAAGCCGCCAGAGCCGGCTGGTAACGGGGGTGGAGCTGGTGGCATCATCCCTGCTCCTGGAGATGCTGCTCAACGTCGGATGGGACAGGGGTCATACTGGGTGTGGGGAGAGGCAAAGAGTGTTTTTTAACTCAAGTGCCCCGCCTGGGAAACAGAAACTGAGGAACAATTTAAAATTGTGTTTGAAGGATCCCGCTGGAGACAAAAGAAGCCAGGAATGGGCTGCTCCGTGGATGCCCCTTGAGGAATTAATTGAGGGATGAATAGATACAGCCTTGGCTCTTATATGAAGGAGAACCCCCCCCTCGCCCTCAGAGCTCATTTCCAGCTGCCTCCTAAGGTGGGATCTCTGTGTTGATCACAGCAAGGTGGCAGATCCATGCACATCCAGCATGGATGGTTATCCAGCAGAGCTCTCAGCCTGGAGCAGCACTGCCCCTGCCTCCCACAGACGAACAGCCAGAGGTGCAGATGGATGTGCAGAGAGCCCTCACACCCCTATGGCTCCCCATTGCCTGTCAGGTGGCTGCACCCCCCTCTGTCCCCTCAGAGGGGCTGCTCTGTCACTGAAGAGCGAGGATAAAACTGCACCAAGGCCGTGCAGGATGCACAGTGCAAACAGTGCACGGCATTTCCTTACAGCTTCTGGAGAGCATGTGGGAAAACTGAGCACCCAGCCTGCTCCAGATCACAACAGTGGGCACTCAACCTGCTCCAGACTGCAGTGGTAGGCACCAGCCTCCCCCAGAGCACAAGAACAGGTGCCCAGCCAGCTCCAGAGCATGGCAGTGGCACCCAGCCTGCTCAGAGCTGGGCTGTGCACCCACCCAGCACCACCGACTCTGGCTGCTCCCAACTTGGAGCAGCACAAGGTTGGATCCTGAGAAAGGAGATGTTCTCCTAGCCAGGCCTCCAGCACAACCACCTTGATCTCCCTTCCTTGCCCCCCAGAGAGGGTTGCAGGGAGCCAAGGGGATGTTCAGCTGAAGGGGGAAGGTGGGAGATGTGTGGGGGTCCAGGCTGGGAGCAGCCCCAGCATCAGTCAGGTGTGATGGGCACGGGGTACATGGGGTGCTCCAGTGGGAACAAGGCTGCGCTTCCAGGAACAATGAGGCAGCTCCAAGGGCAGTTTGCCACCAGGATGAGTGTTCACAGGACGCTGTGGCTTCCCCTCCTCTCACAGCCTCTAATCCAGGACAGTGTCTCGGGGCCGTGCTGTGCTGCACGTCCCGCGCCTGACGCTGCCAGGCAGCACCTGTGGCCTTGTGCAACACCCAGGTCACCCAGGGTGACCCAGAGAGGCCTGTGCAGGGCTCAGGGGACAGATGTCAGGGGACAGCCACAGCCTGGGCACCCGGCTGGGGGGGGACAGCGTGTGTTCTCCATCCTCAGGGTGTCTGCAAACACCTCCGGGAACAGCTGGAAAAGCACCAGCCCTGGATAACTCCACACGCAGGACACGGCAGGGGAGAGGCTGCGGGGGCAGAGGTGGAGGCAGAGGTGGCCCTGGTGGCCTGGTTGTCCCCACAGAGGCAGCTGGCACGGCTGCGGTTTCGGCAGCGAGGGAAGCACGAGGGCACCCCAGCGGCACCGCCCGCCGCTAATGACAGGGCAGCTAATTACAGGGGCAGGCAATTAAACACGCAAACCAAGCTCGAGTATCAGGGCAGTGCCAGCGACGCTGCGGGGACACTGTCCTGCCCTGCCCACGGCCAGGGGGCTGCGGGGACACGAGTGGGGGGCACAGGGCAGCAGTGGGGCAGAGGGGGAGCCCCCCAGCAGCGGGCACGCTGTGCCGGCGAGGCAGGGAACGAGAAAGCCGGGCTGGACAGGGGTGGGCACGGGGGCTGTGGGCTTTCCTGAGCTCGGCTCAGGGCCAGCGGGGGTCCCTGGGAGGTTCCAAAAGCCTCTGCCGGCAGCGAGTTCCCTGCTCGGCGGGACAGACGAGCCTCGCGGGGCCCAGGATGGGGAGGAAGGAGGAGGAGCTGCCCGTGCCCGCCCCGCCGCTCGCCCCGAGGGACGGATGTCCAGAGCCCCCAGGGATGGATGTCCAGGGCCCCCAGGGATGGATGTCCAGGGTCCCGAGGGATGGATGTCCAGGGCCCCCAGGGATGGATGTCCAGGGTCCCGAGGGATGGATGTCCAGGGGCCTGAGGGATGGATGTTCCACATGCCTCAAGGGATGGATATCCACAGGTCCCGAGGCATTGGGTTCAGGGGCCCGTTCCTGGGTCCGCCCCTCCGGGGACACCGGGGACAGGGTGGCGGAGGACGGGACGGGGAAGGGGCAGATCCCGAACGCGGCAAAGGAAGAAAGGCGGGACCACTTCGGACAGGGGGTGGCCCGTGGGATGGGGGTGAGCGGAGGGGGGTCCCCACGCCGGGCGGAGCGGGGACCGCGAGGGGACGGCACTTCCCGGGACGGGACACGAAGGAACGGCCAGGATAGCGACCGGGACCGGGACAGGGGCAGGGATAGGGACAGGAATAGGGACGGGGAAAGGGACAGGGACAGGCACAAGGACAGGGACCGATCCCGGCCCGGCTCCCCCAGGCCCCGCCCCCCCGGCCCCGCCCCCGCGATTGCATCATCCGCCCCCCGGTGCCCGGATGAGGCGGCCCCGGCGGCGGCGGGTGCTGCGGCGGTGACAGGGGATGCGCTGCGGTGAGCGGGGCGCGGGGCCGGGCCAGGCAGGCCGGGGGGCCCGGGACAGCCCCGGTACAGCCCCGGCGGGCCCGGGGGGCTCGGGACGCGGGATGATCACGGCCGGGGGGCCGGGGGGGCCGCGGGCCCCGCGCCGCCATTGGCTGCGGGTTGACAACGGGGCAGGGCCCGCCCCCGCGCCGCGCCATTGGCTGGCGGAGCCGCGCCGCGGCCGCTGATTGGCGGAGGGGACTGTCAGTCAGGGCGCGGCCCGGCTCGGCCGCCGCCCTGGGCGGGCCGGGCCCCCCCGGACCCTCCGGGACCCGCCGGGCGTTACCGGCTGGGGCTGCCCCGCACCCCGGGACAGGGATCGCCCCCAAGGAGAGCAGTTCGGCATCACCCACAGGCTGCCGGAGCTGTGATTCGCCTCGGTTGTCATAAAATCCTTGGGCGACCCGGTGGCCGCGGAGTGGGGCCTTTTTTAGGGAGCAGTTCTTGCCGGGGTTAGGTGATCGGGCATGGGCAGGGGCTGCCCAGGGAGGTTTGGAGTCCCCAGCCCTGGAGGTGTCCAAGGCAGGCCTGGCCGTGGCACTCAGTGCTCTGGGCTGGGGGACAGGGTGGGGATGGGGCACAGGGGGGATCCATGGGCTGGGAGGGCTTTTCCAGCCTCAGGGATTGTGGGATTCTGGGATTCTATACCAGGATGGCAGAAATGTGCCCCCTCCTCTGTCCATGACTTCCCTCTTCCAGCAGAGGAGTGAAAACGGGAGGCAGGAGGGGTGTGAATTTTGCCCATTGCTTTGGCTTTCGTTGCACTCGGTGGGCTGGGAGGGCTTTTCCAACCCGAATGATTCCGGGAGCTCTACTGAGTATTTCTCTGTAGTTCCCTGCGGGTTTTTCTCCGAGGTTGTCCCCACCTCCCTCTCAGCTCGGAGCGCCCTGTTGTGTCTCCTACAAACCCCCTCGTGCTCGGGTGACGAGCGTGACCCGAATTGCACAGACGGGTGTGAGGGATGAGCGGCCCTGACACGGCAGCAGATCCCTCACCGGAGCCAGACCCCACGGAGTGACTCCCATTGACACAGCCCCGTCCTTCCCGGGGGGAGGAGAGCTGTCCTCCCCTCCCACAGCCCGCGCTGGGAGTGACTCAGGCGTTCCCTGCTCCCTCTGGAACCATCCTCACTCTGTCCCGAGTGCACAGAGGTGGGGGGCACTTTGGGATGCCTGTGGGGCACTTCTTGCCCTCAGAGGTGCTTAGATATGTGAAGCTGCTGGAGAAGAATTCCTTGGATCCTTGAGGAATTTTTTTTTCTTTTTGTTTTTTGTTTTTTGTTCCCTCCCCCCCCAACAACAAACAATTCCTGGACACTGTGGAGAGCTGGTGGCCTTGTCAAGGTCAGTGTTCTGGTAGAGATATCAGTAACTGTGAGAGGAAGGAGCTGTCCCAGGGCAGAAAAGAGACTGGGAGCATTTTGTGCATTTTGGAAGGGGCTGCCCAGGGAGGTGGTGGAGTCCCCACCCCTGGAGGTGTCCAGGGAGGTGGCACTCTGTGCTCTGGGCTGGGTGACAAGGTGAGGATCGGGCACAGGGTGGTCTCAGAGCTCTTTTCCAACCTCTGATTCTGTGAGTCTGTATTTATTAACTTACATGTAAATGTGGTGTATTAGCAGTGTGAGTGCACAGACAGGCTGGTTGGCAGTGCCAGTTAACTGTGGCTGTGCAGGGTATGAAAGATGTGGGTAGATAATGTGGGGTTTGGATTAACAGTGCCAGGACTGCCCCGGAGGGGATCCTGTGTCCTGCTTTCTGCCTGGGCTTTGTGTTTATGTATTTACTTTGTATACATGGAGGGATTCTCCCTTTGCACGTGTGGAGATTTAATCCTGTGTGCCACTGGGAGTCCCAGAGGTGAAGGATGTGTTCAGACACAAAGTGTTTGAGTTCCTGTTTGAGTAATTCAGGGGAAAGCCCTCAGGTGGTTTTGTTTTTTTTCTTTTCCCGACTCTTTAGAGGTTGCAGATATGTAAGATAATTCCTCTTCTGGTGCAGAAGGAAAGAGAAGAGAAAGGAAAATATGAAAGTGGAGAGAAAGCACGAGACTGATGATGTCTGTGACCTTGGTGCCACAAGGAGTCTTGTCTCTGGAGTCACTGCTGGGAGCAGACTGCCAAAAACTGCAGCAACAAAGTGCAGTTTATTCCCTCAGTCTGTCACAGTTGGTTTTGAGGTGCCAGGAAAGTCGGGCTGAGGAAGGAAATGGTATTTTTGCAGTCCTTGATGTTTGTGTGACACCACAAAAATAACCAAGATAAACTGTGGAGCGTGTCCAGCAAACTGGCTGCCCTGCTGTGCTGCCCTGACCTGTGGGCAGAGCCACTCAGAGCCAGCAGAGCAGCTTTTGCTTGATGTGATTGTGTCCCTCCAGGGCTCAGCTGAGTAGCAGATTGTGCTGGTTCCTTCTCCTTCCCAGCACAGAGTTTTATTTTTAACATTCCCGTTGTTCAGTGCTCACTGCAGAGCCCCTCTCTGGGGGCTGGTCTGGGATAAATGCTGAAAATACACCTTTTGGGGAGTGTTTTCAAATGAATTCTCCCCTCCCTTGGCACTGGTAGGATGAAAAAGAACAGAATTCCCTGCTCATGTCAGAACTCCATGCTGAGTGCTTTTCCCTTGGAATTCCTTGGTCACTGCTCATGTCCAGAAGCATCTTCCCCTCTGGCCTCTCCTTCCCAGGAAATGTTGTTATGGGGGTGGGGTCAATTGCTGAGCTCACAGGGGACCTGGTGCTGTCGTTTGGTGCAGGCTCTGGGCTGGGTGTGCTGTAAGTTCTGGGGTAAATCATTGCTTCTGGGGGGGCTGCTCTGTGGTTCCTCAAGGTGTGAGGAGAAACCAGGCAGCTGTGAGTTGGGGGAAGGTGCAGCTGGGTGGGTGATCTCCAGAGGGAGGTTCAGGTCCATGGCAGCTCCACCTGCAGCCCGTGGTGGGGATCAGGATCAGTGCTCCTGGTGCTCAGCATCTCTCCCAGACCTTCCTAGAGTTTGGTTTTCCAGGGAGCAGAGGCTCAATCAGGAGGAAGCTTGTTCTTTTCACAGCCTGGATTTCCTTCTCAGTTCTCTGTTTACTCCACACCTCCTGCTCTGTGTGGGTTCATCCCTCTGGGGTTCCTGGCTGTGGAGCCGGGAGTGAATTGTTCTCATGGTCAGGCCCAGGTTGTTCTGGGACATTCCCATCTCCTTTCCTTCATCTCTGCAGGCACTGAACCTGCATCAGGAGCACCAACCTCTTCAGGTTTCCTTTTTAAGGCACTTTGGTGGGAACAAATAGAGGTCGAGTGTCTTAAACTTCCCTTGTGGGTGAACATGATTTTTAATCCTGAATTCTGCTCCCTTTGGTAGCTGTAGCTTGATTGCTGAAAAGAGGCTTCTTTGCACCAGTGCATTTCCTCTGGTTTCAAGGCTTCCACCCCAGCGCTGGCTCGCTCAGCAAGGGTGTTTTATTATGATTTGATATCATATATTCACCAGGCCTTTGAGGCTTTGCTGTGTGGTGCTGGGTTGCCTTAAAGGCTTTTAGTCTGAACTTGGCACAAAGTTCCTGCAGGTAGGATTTGGTTCTCCCGTGCTGCCCAAATTGGAAATGCAGGATTTATGGTGGCAGCAGCAGGAGTGTTCTGCTGACTCTGTGCTCTGTGACTTTCCTCTTTCCCTGAAAGCTCCTGTGCTGCTGTGGCAAGAGGCAAGGAGGCATTTGTTGTGGTTCACTTGAGAACATTCAGTTCAAAAATAGGATTGCAGGAGAAGGTTGAGTTCACAGAGGCTCAGTTTCTAACAGTGACGGGTGCAGGCAGACATCCAAAATGTATGGAAATCCACCAGCTCCTATTCCAGGATGAGCAAAACAAGCACAAATTGATTGCTGAAATCTAATCCGTGCCTTTAGTTGGTTTGTTTGTTTTCTATCTTCTAATAAGTGCATGGCAATGTCCACTTGCTTTAAGTTTTGGCTGGAGGGCTCAGGTTCCTTTGCTTTAAACCTTGATTTTAGGGGGGAAAAAATCAAGAACTTCAGGGGTTTGGGGGTTACCTGTTGGTTCTCATGGTTTGAGAAGGTGAAGAACGGTGGGAACAAGGTTTCTTCTGCTTTTCTGCCTGTGAATCAGCAAAAAAGGGGAAGAAGAGCTGGTTGGGGACGGTCCTTCCTGCTCTTGGTGGCAGCTCTGGGTGGTGGCAGCTCTGGGTGACGGGGTGAGACGGGGGGGCTGTGGCACAAAGCAGGCCCTGGGCAGTTCTGTGACAGCCAGGGTGAGTTGTTGTCTCCAGAACTGAAGGCCACGTGAGCTGGGTGGAATTCCTCGATTGAGTCCTGTTTGAGGTGGTTACTTGTTTAATTCCAAAGGTCACACTGGACATTTCCATCGCCTGCAGGGGAAGGGGGGCCAGCAAAGCACAGGTGGAGGAGTTCAGCACTGGGCTTTGATGTGTTTGTTTGCCTCTGGGTGATTTTTGGTGTCTGAAAACACCGAGCAAACAGGGTTGTGAAGAGGAAAGCGGAAAAAACACGCAGAAAAACGAACATTAGGTAAGATGAATTCCCTTTCCACGGCAATGTTTATAAGCTGGTTTCAAATGGGAGACTGTGAGGCAATTAAAATCAGGGAGAATGCTTTTCTGCAGCCACTTGAGATGCTGCAGGTACACCCGGGGTGAACTGCAGCAGCTTGTGAGCAGCGCTCGGGATGATCCTTCCTGGGATGTGTCAGTGACTCATTTCGCTTTGAGAGCCGCGAGGAGTGAATTCCTGACTGTGGGAAGGGGTGGGCAGAAGCTGAAAAAACATCGTGTTGTGTTTCAAGCTGAGTGTTTTGGTGTTAGATTTCATGCAAACCTCCCCAGCAGCCTCCCGGCACACGGGGAGCCCGGGAAGCTGGGTCGAGGTTACACCGTGTTACACTTCAGGCTGTGTTTGTGTTCTCGTGGCTTAGCAGAGATTTCAGTTTGGCCCGGAATGCAGGATTCCCAAAGGTACTTAGGGAATGTGTGTTTATGTAGTTATTTCTGCCACAGGTTGGATTCAGATATCCCTGTAATATCCAGAGGATACTGCACATCTCGCTTGTAGGGATGCCTTTGGAGGTGGGAAAACAGATTTGTCCTGTACAAACCCCACTACACACGGCAGTTTTTAGAGTGATTTCAGCGTGGAAAAGTTCTTTCCTTTTCCCAGTGCAGAGTTCCTCTGTCCTGCTGACTTTGGGGGGGGGGGGCTTGAAAGGATCCCCCGTGTTTTGAACGTAGCCCTTGTCTGGGAGCTGCCTTGGAGCTGGAGCTGTGCCCACAGAGCTGTGCTTTCCCAGGGCACTGTGTGAATGCTAAGCTGTGTTGGAATGAATTCCAGTGGGCAGCAGCATAAGCCTGCTCTCATTTTCCCTGGAAGACGCTGCTGCATTGTCTTGTCTGTGCCCTGAAAGCCTCAGTGTTGTTGGTCAAAGGCTCGATTCTGCAAGTGCCACGTATGCAAAGGAGCCTGTGAATAGGAAGGACTCTCCGTGCTGGTTCTCAACTCCTCATAGAATCCCAGGACAACTGGCAGCTTTTGTTAAACCCTCGGTATTCCGTGGGCATCCTCTCTCCCACACGGGAGATGTTTCACGTGCTCTGGCTGTGTTGCGATAAGGGCTGGGAATGGCTCCCCTGCAGGCTCAGAGAAACCCGTGTTCCTGTGCCATCAGCCGAGGGAATGGGCAAAGCCTGGCACACTGAAGGGATCCTCCTGTGCCCACGGGTGTGGCAGGGGCAGGGTTGGAGGCTGTTGGCATCTCCCAGCTCTCAGACTGGTGTTTGGGCCGTGACCCACCGTGTTTGTGTGTGCTCTTCTCTCTTCCGCGCCCCTCATGAGGGAGCGCTGCAAGCGCTGCAGGGATCCTGGGGGTGTTTGTGTCCCAGGGTGTGCCCTGAGCAGGCAGGAAGGAGTCCTGGACCTCATCTCAGCCACTTCCAGGATATGATGTAGGAAGGACTAGGAAGAGCCCTGCCGAGGGGCCTGAGGCACCACAGGGCTGAATCTCCTCCCTCTGCTGTCTCAAAGGGTCTTTGGACAAAGGATTGGGGGGGGGGGGAAAATCCCTCCTGTACCTGGGAGTGCCAGGCAGCCCTTCCTGTGCTTGCAGGGATTCTGTGGATATTTATTTCCAAGGGTGTGCCCTGAGCAGACAGGAAGGGAGTCCTGGACCTCATCTCAGCCACTTCCAGGAAAAGATGTCAGGTGCTTCCATGTACTTCCTTGGAAGGGAAGGCAAGTGGGACAACTGTATACCAAAAGTGGGATGTGGATGCTGGAGCTCAGCAGGGCACACTGGTGTTGGCATCTGGAGCAGGTGTTTATCCAAAATCCCTGGTGGTAGCATTGGGCACGGTGGCAGACGTGGAGCAGGGGCAATCATGAATTATCACCCGTTTAACCAACTTGGAAAAGGTCAACTCGCTCCTGCTGGGTGTGTTTGGGAGGGAAGAGTTCCTGAAGTACCACAGGGATGAATCTCCTCCCTCTGGTGTCTGGAAGGGTCTTTGGACAAAGGAGTGAGGGGGGGGGGGGGAAAATCCCTCCTGTACTTGTGAGTCCTTGCTGTGCCTGCAGGGATTTTGGGGGGTGTGTCCCAGGGTGTGCCCTGAGCAGACAGGAAGGAGTCCTGGACCTTCCCTCGCCACGGCTCGGAAATGATGTCAGAGCTTCCTTGTGCGAGCCCTTTTCTAACCACATCCTGAGTGTTGCTGCCAGCTGGCGTGGCTGCTCACCTGCTGAGCCCAGCTCACCTCTGGAGCTGTGGGAGCTGAGCCTGGGTTGTGCTTTATTTATGTTGGGATGAATGTGCTGCCTGCTGATCCAGCCCTCCGGAGTGTGCCAGTTTGGAGACGAGTGCAGGGAAAGGTCCAAGGCTTTATGGAAGGGTTTGATCAGTGCTGGACCAGTGCTTTGACCAACACCCAGCAGTGCCTGAGCTGGTCACCTCTGCCTTGTCCTGGCACATGGAATCCCTGTCCAGGAGCTTCCTGAGCCTCTGGATCACCTGGATGCACCCGAGGGGGAACTGCAACAGTTTGGGCTCCACATCCCTTGGGAAAAGGCTTGTGCACAGGACTTGGGATTTGTCCCTGTGGGGGGATGGAGGTGCCTTGCTGACAGCTGAGCAAGTGCTCCCAAAGAAACCTGTGTCTGGAATTCGTTCCTGGAATGGCTCCACAGGTGTGTTTGATTTTGTCAGTACAAAAAGGAAACGCCGTCAGTTCTCTTGGGCACTGTGGAGATGTGATTCCTGACAAATTGCTTCTCCCATAACCCTGTGAAGTTAAATAGACACAGTGTGAGATTTGGGATGGGTTTGGCACCCTCAGGATAAATGTGGGCCCTTGGGTTGTGTCAGCTGCAGTCTCAGCTGGAACCCACGTGCCAGTTCAGCCTGGCTGTGTCTCTGAGCTCAGTGCCAGCCTGGCTGCCCTCTGATGAAAGCATGGGACTGTTTTGTCCCACTTTTAGGTATCAAAAATGTGGGTCACTGCGATGCAGGACATATTAGTGTGACAATTTTAGCCTGAAGGGACAGAGTTGGCTGAGAGGGGACAATGATGTCTGATAGAGTGTGAAAGTCAGGACTTCCAGGTCAGCTATTCCTGATCAATGAGCCTGATGTTGTTCACAGCCTCTGCTTTAAGCACAGAAGGAGTTGGTTTCACCTTATTCTTTTTCTGGGTGTTAATGACAAAATGTAAGCCTTGGCTTTTTGAGGAGGGAAAAAAAGGGTGCCTGTTTTTATAGAAGAGCTGTGGGATTGCTTGGGGAGGGCTCAGCAGTGGTGCTTTCCCCGTGGTCTGAGCAGTTCCTGCTGTGCATGGCAGGGCCACAGCCCCCCCATCATCACCTCCAGCAGCTCTGGGGCCTGGTGTGAATGTCCCGTGTCCCCTGGACTGGGTTGCCCCATGGATAAAAGTCGGTGTTGGGTTGTGTTTCCTGTGCTGGCTCAGAGCCAAGCGGTGCTGCCAGCGGCACCCAGAGCTCCAGGAAGGGTGGTCCTCATGGAGCAGGGGGTCTTCTGCTCCTCTGAACACCTCCAGGCTGGAAACTCCTCCTGTGTGATGTGACCAGGTGGTTTTAGGAGAGGCTGATCCTTCCTTTGTGTGTCTGAGGGAGCAAAATTATGTGGATAATTTCAGTTAGCTGCCTGTTTTACACAAGCAGGAGTGAGCCAGGACTCAACACCGGAGGGTTAAATTGAATTTTGATCTCCACACACACTGTTAGTGGTTCCCTCTGTGTTCATCCTCCTTCACTATTCACCTTTGCAGCTCTAATAGCTGCTGGAGTGCTATTGTTGTGTTGGTGGCAGGAGGCAAGATCTCTTTAAGAATGTTTTAGGAACTAAAGTGGAAACTGTGATAGCTGTAAATTTTAGTGTATTACCAACTGTGATCCAAAGTGGGCCCTTCAACTGGTGTGGCAGATAAAAAACACAGCCAAAACTCCTGGACCTGTTTCTCGCTGCACAAGCACTTCCAGAGGCTGGGTAAAATTCCATGGCTTGTTGGGGCAGGTCCCTGTGCTGGGTGACTCCTGTTAGGGATCATTAACATCCTGTGTGCAGGTGCCAAGTGCTGGTGCTGCTGTTGGAAAGGCTGTGGCAGTGAAGCCCAGGATTCGGGAGCAGCTTTGGGGTCTGTGTTTTATCCTGAGCGTGTCCCTGTGTTTGTGCCCTGCAGGTCGTGTTGATCATGGACAGTGAAGAAATCCCAACTTTCTCGAGTCCAAAGGAGGAAACTGCGTATTGGAAAGAGCTTTCCTTGAAGTACAAGCAAAGGTATGGTGGATTTGCAGGCTGGGTTTGGTTCTTAATGACCACAGCTTTGTTTACTGCAAGGCCACACCAAGATTATTATATTATATTATATTCAGTATTTTAGGATCTCTAAAAAGAGAATTTGTAAAGAATTTCTAGCTTTGAAATTCCCAGTTTTGTGGGAGCTGAGTGTTTCCTGCCCGATGTCTCCACGCCAGGAACTCCAGGCTATGTTCTGAGCATGTTTGAGCAAGAGCAGAACCCTTTTAGGATCATGTGCACCTCTGTATAATTAAAGTGCTGCCTTAAGTAGTATCTTGATGTTTTATCATAAGAAGGCGCCTTTGGGCTCTCCTGGTGTCATTCCTGTTCCCTCCAGCTTCTTGTAATGGAATTACTGGTATGAAAAGTGGCTGATTTGGTGTCTGCTGCATTTTACTGGAGTGGATTTTACCTCCTGTACCAGGGGTTTGCACCTTTTAGGGGGCACAGGGCTTTTTGGGTACCAAAAGTGCCAGGAGAGGCTGTTGTATTGAGTAGTTTTGTGCTTTTTAAGGGGGTTTCTTTGGAGTGCTCCCACTTCATTTTCTTGGGGAGGCTTTATGTGCCCTCAGTGGAACCCATGTGCAGCTGAGCTGAAATTAAAACCTCTCTCAAGCCCAAAGAGCCCAGGCTGCTTTTTTTTTTTTTTTTTTTTTCAGTTTGGGCTTGTTTTGGGGAGGGAGGGGTTGGGAATGTGGAGGAGCCTGTCCATGTGGAGAACCCTGAGCTGTTCTTGGGTGTCAGAGCATTCTGTGGGAGACACCAATATGTTGTTTCCTGAAGCCTTGTTGGTTTTCCCTGCTGTTTGCTGAGGGCTGAGCTGTTACCTGTGGTAAAGATGCAAATTTAATAAGCAAAGTATGCAGAGTGGCTACTCCTGGTGTTTAATAACTGTCAGTGCTATGAGGCAGGTATGTGCTGGCTTCCTGACTCCCCATGATTTTTAGGAACCTTAAATTTCCAGGTAGTGCAGAGATGCAGAAACTGTTGTTCCCTCTTCAGTTTTTGACCAAAATCAGGTTAAGTGTTTGCTTAATTCCTTGTCTCCAGCAAATCTCCTACCAGTGGAAGCCAGTGGAGTACAAAGTGGTTCTCAGGCTCCCATGAATCCTGTAAATAGCCTTGATTTCACACAGGCATTTGAGGCAGCTGTTGGTTTTGATGTAAGAGAATTAATTTCCTTTAATAGCTGAGCTTAATGTAATTTCTCCATTTCCCCATTTTTCTTTTCCCCCTTAGAAATCTACCACGACACTTAAGCACTTCAAAACTCCTGGGTTTTTTTCAGCTTTTTTATTTTAGAAGAGCTGCAGATTTTAACTTGGGGGATGCTGGCTTTTCCCACTGATGAAATCCTCTCTCCTTTACAGCTTCCAGGAGGCTCGTGAAGAGCTGGCTGAATTCCAGGAGGGGAGCAGAGAATTAGAAGCAGAGTTGGAGGCACAGCTAGTGCAAGCTGAGCAGAGGAACAGAGATTTGCAAGCAGATAACCAAAGACTGAAGTATGAAGTGGAAACATTAAAGGTGGGTGCTTCTTTTGGAAGGATCTCCTTGGAGATCCTCTGGGCTGTTCTTGGTCACTGAATATCCAAATGAAGTCAAGGAATCGTCTGTTTATGATCCAGACTTAAGGACCAGGCACGTCCTCCAAATAAGGCAGGGAAATTCCTGGCAGAATTTTCCTTGGTCACATCATGCAGCTCTGGCTGTGGAGTTTGTGCTCTGCGTTCTGGAGGCTGTGCCAAGCAGGAGCTTTATTGGTTACACGGGGAACATCAGCATAGCAACAGGGGGACAACACGAGCTGCCTGTCTTTGCAAACCAGTCTTTGTCTCCTTGGCTTTATTGGACCCTGAAGAAGGCTCAGAGTGGGTGATCTGTGCCATCTTTCAGAGAGGCTCCTCATCCATTCTTAACAGCCATTTCTGTGGAGCCAGGAATTGCAGGGGGATCTGCATGTGCACAGGGTGGCTTTGAACTGATGCCTCTGTGTTAACCAGTTCTTGCCTCTTTTGGAACCTTGCCACAGCATCATTTTGGGTAGTCTTGGCTTGTGTTAGTGAAGACAAAGGTTAGAAATCCTCTCAGTGGAAGGAGGGTTTATGGGATTCCTCTGTGTATCCATTCCCAGCTGTACTGTAAGGTCAGCACATGCTTTATGAGGTCACTGCTTTCTCCACAGGGCTCCATCTGTGCCCTCAGAGCTGGTGAGAGAGTGTTTGGCAGTGAATTCTCCCAGAGATGAGTTTGTGGGCCTGGAGGTTTTGTAACAGATGCCAGTGGCTCTCATTTTTGCTCATGGACACGTCAGCCAGTGTTTGGTCTCAGAGTGGCTGTTGTCAAGGCAAAAGGGGGGGCTGTGCAGTTGGATTTCTCTCTGGCTTCCTGGATGTTTGAGGCCCTGGAGCAGCTGTCAGTGCAGGCTGCTGGGAGCAGATGCAGGGACACATCCCTGAGAGCCAGCTGTGTCCTGGAGAGATGGCTGTGGCTTTGTCTAGCTCTGATGTTCACAGCCTGTTCCTTCTCCCTCTCTGATTTTTCCTCTGGATTTCCAGCAATCCCCAAACCAGCAGCCTGCAAAGAGCGTCATACTTTCTTTGTCCCATTTTCCTGCTGTTTATCCCCACAATTCTTTCTTCCAGGAGAAGCTGGAGCACCAGTATGCCCAGAGTTACAAGCAGGTGTCCCTGCTGGAGGATGACCTGAGCCAGACCAGGGCCATCAAAGACCAGCTGCACAAATATGTGAGGGAGCTGGAGCAGGCCAACGATGACCTGGAGCGTGCAAAGAGGTGAGGGCTGCCAGCCTCCTCTTCCCTCAGAGCTTGCACTGCATCCTTTCAGATTGCCCATTTTATTATTCCTTAAAAGGGGAAGTACATTCAAAAAACCCCAACCAACCCCAAGACTCTTGGAGTTGGCCTCCATCAGCTGGGTCCTTGGATTAGAGCTGGAGGGGCAGTGGGACAGCGTGGCTCGTGCTCCTGAGAGGAACAAGCTGTGCAAGCAGAGCCACTGCCTCTGGTACCCCCAGCTAAATGACTTCTGTTTGTGGTCCTGGTGGCTCCAAACCCCTTTGAAGTCAGCAGCTCGTGCTTTACATAGTCCCTTTTAAACAAACCAGGCCAAAGGAGTCTCCTGGTCCCTTCCAGAGCAGCTGTAGGGAACAATCCTGGCCTTTGTAAGGCCTGGGATGAACAGGCTGCTCTGGAAACGCCCACTTTGGGAGGAGGTCATGCTTCCCTTTTGCTGAATGGGAATTCTGCCATTGATTCAGGGAGAGCAGGAATGAGCCTCTGGCTATCTGGGAAAAAAAAAAGATCTGAGAGCTGAGCTGCTGTTTCCACAAGGCTCATGACTAACTTCTGACAAGGAGTTTGGAAGGAATTGGCTCTTGGGTAATATCCCAGTGCTCTGCTTTCCACGCTGGGCTCTGCCTGCCCAGAGCTCTGCCCTCATTCAGTGTACAGCTTGGGAAAAACGGGCAGGGCTGCACAGGACTGGCTCTTTCCCACCCCTTTGGTGCATCCCTGAGATCCAGATGCTATCATGATCTCTGCATCTTTTTCTCCTGTTTCTTTGGAGTTGATTATTCCTTTCTAGGCAGCGTTTCCGTGGCTTTCAGCTGCTCAGTGTGACTGCAGGCCCTGCTGACATTTTTCCTCTATTATGTTTCTGGATAATACACATTCATGTTGGCTGAGCTGAAGAACCCAATATTCTGGATTTTGTTTCTAGGGCAACAATAGTTTCATTGGAAGACTTTGAACAGAGGCTGAACCAAGCTATTGAGAGAAATGCATTTTTAGAAAGTGAACTGGATGACAAGGAGTCACTGCTGGTTTCTGTACAGAGATTAAAGGATGAAGCAAGAGGTAAGGCTTGTCTGGTTGGTTCTGGGTCTTGGTTTGCTAAAAGAGAGGTGTAGCAACCAAAGCTCATGTTTCTAGAAAGCCTCACATGATGAAACTTGAACTGCATGCATTAGATACCATTAACAGTATGTTTTTTATATGTCCTGTGTAGTCAAGAGGAAAAATTTCCTCACTTAGGGCAGAATTAATATCAGATTAATTCAGGATTTTAACAGAGGGGAGTACAGAAATACTCTGTTCCACAGATACCATAGAATTGAGGAAATGTGCTTTGAAAGTGCCTTTTTGTTATGGTTTTATGCCTTGTGTAGGGAGGGAAAGCACAGGAAATGACAGGGAAATACAGGATAAATGATTAAGTAATTGTCTTGAAAAATCCTGTCTCCTGTGTTCCTCCTAAACCCCTTGGAAATTGCCTGGTTTATTTAAGATATTCCAGTAGAGGCTGTGTTTAGACCTGTGAGATCAGAGATGGCTGGGGCAGTGCTGTGGGATATGAGCAGGAATTGGGAATTCCCCAGTGGATTTCACATTGAGGATCCTGGGGAAAGGTTTTTTAATGGTTGGGTAAAACTGATTTCTCTGATAATGGAGATGATCTGCTCATAATCTTGTGCCAGCCATTAATAAGTCTAGAGATTAGTGGTTTTCAACTTTATTTCCCAAGTGAAACTTCCTAAAATAATTCCTCAGTTCAGGCCTGGGCCTGAGTGTAAGAAAACTCACCTGAACAGGCCGGGATTTTTTGGCTGTGAACCTCTTTGAAAGCCAAGTTTGTGCCCCAGGAATTAAAAGCTTTATTGGAAGCACAGGGTTTTTCTGTAATAAATATCAAGAGGGAAGTTTTCCAGTATGTAAAGTTTTACACAATGTAAATATTTCTGATGAAATATGTGTGTTGTCATTTGAGGCGAGGGCAATAATACTGGAAAAAACAGCAACACCCAGGGGACTGTCTTCTAGAACACTGAAATAATCAGCCAAAAAGACATCTTGTTTTTCAGATGAGTCATTTGGAAATTTTTAGCATATGTTAACGTAGCAAAGCTGCTTGTTGTTCCCCCTGACAGCAAGCAGGAACAGTAGCCATTAAAAGAACTGGTAAAATGTCAAACTCAGGAGATGGCATTTCTGATGGAACAGCCTCAGATCCTCTGCTGGGGGCCCAGGTTTTCCTTTCAGCTCTGCTGTTTTACCTAAAATCAGTTCTAAACACCTGTGGCAGCTCAGAAGCTGTGATGTGCAGTTAATTGTGCTCTTGCACGTTGTAGCAGATTAAGGCGAGGAGTGAGAGGTCTGGGGAAACTCAGGAACAACTGGAACAAAAAGGAACGACTCCTTTGTCATCTTTTTTTTGCATCTAGACCCTTCTGAGTGTTTACAGATCCATTGCTGAGCTGTGCTGGATGCTCTTTGTAGCAAAAGGATGTGGAAATGGGAAGGGGTGGGGTAAGGATAAGCTGCAGTCTGGGGAGGAGGTGAGAGCAGAGCCTGGCTTGGCTCATCTCCAGGCTGTTTCCCTTTGGACTGCCCAGTCTCCAGTCTGCTCTTCCACTTGTCAAGGCATCAAAAACTGGGTGCAGCCCTTGGACTGTCTTGGGCTGGTGTGGAATTCTGGGGATTACTGACTGGAAGAATAACATAGGAGTTGGAAGCACAGGGATAGGTCATTCCACTGGTTTTTCCAGCCTCTCCTGGAGCAGGAGCTGAGTGTGGCCCAGCTGCAGCATTTGTGTCCAGCTGCAGTTTCTGTAACACTCTTTCCATGGAGCTCACGCTGCAAATGGGCAGAATTCCTGAGGGAAAGTCACCTGCCATGAGCACAGGGACCACCCAGTTCCAGGGACTGAGCTGTGACTGTTCTGGGGGGTGTCCCCAGTGCTGGAGAATCCAGTCAATCCAGGATTGCTGCAAAGTTGTCTCCTCTTCCTCTCTCCTAAATGAACAGAGAGAGTGTTTGTGAGAGAAATCAGTCTCTAATATATGGTTTTGGTGGATTTTTTTTCCTTCTCTCCATCCTCAGACTTAAGGCAAGAGCTGGCAGTGAGGGAAAGGCAGCAAGAGGTGACCCGAAAATCAGCTCCCAGCTCTCCCACTCTGGACTGTGAGAAGATGGATTCAGCTGTCCAGGCCTCTCTCTCCTTGCCAGCCACACCTGTTGGAAAAGGATCAGAAAACAGTTTTCCTTCCCCAAAAGGTACCATTCCCAGGAGCTGTGTCTGGCTGTTTGGCAGGATGTGCAGCCTGGCAGCAAACCATGGATGCTCCACAGGGAATGTGGCTGTGGGGATAGGGGGATCCCACACCTGTGTTTAAATTCCAGGACAGCATCAGGTGCATTTAAGGAGTAGGAAAAGAAGGAAAAAAGCATGGAAAAGAAGGGCACTGAAGCTCAGATAATGCTTTTGCAGGGGACAGGGGTTTGCAGTGTGCAGTGGGTGCCTGCAGTGGAGCACTGAGGAGATTTGGGATTGCAGGGAAGTGCAGTGACTGATGTTCCTGCTCCAGTGTGGAGCAGCAGTGGTGGGTGAAGTGTGCCAGGAATTCCAGAGTCTCTGTTCCCACACTGACTCTTGGGGGTGCTGTTTTCTCCCTGAGGCAGTGGGATGTCAGGCCAGTCCCCTTCCCCCTCTGGAAGGCTCGGGACAGTCACAGGGATTAATGCATGATTTTTCAAATGAGAAGGAGCAGGTTCCAGCAGGAGCTCTGGCTGGATTAGATGGATTGTGGTCAGTAGCCCTACAGATGGAGAGTGCATGAACTCTGCGTGTGGGGCCAATGGGAATGAGGGCAGTGGGCAGGAATTAAGCTCTATCATTTTTCCATGGCAGCTGATCATGCAGTTATTGTGGGGTAATTGTATCAAGTGTCTGCAGCAGGGTTTTAGGTTTATCTTTTTTTTTTTTAATGTAGAAGTTGATTTATTTAAATGTTTAAAACCCCCTGAACTGTGGGGGAGTGGAGCATGGAATAACATGTGCCTGTGTTTGCAGCTATACCAAATGGGTTTGGTACCAGCCCACTTACTCCTTCAGCCAGAATATCTGCACTCAACATTGTGGGAGACCTGCTACGGAAAGTGGGGGTGAGTGCTCTGAACTCTGGGCTGTCCCTGGGGCTTCTGTCCTTGTGCTCAATCACAGCCTTGGCCTGTGCTGAGCACAAGCTGTACCTTCCAAACCATCCACACTGCGTTTAGTGGGTTATAATGTAATTTTTTTGTATTATTTTGATTTGCGAAGCGAGTTCTGATGCCGGTTTGGGGTGATGAAATTCATGTTTGGAGTTCAAAGTTTCTCAAGGACGTGGGTGACAGGGTTAGGCACTGTCAGCTGCTTGTTCTGCCCTCAGCTGGGGCTGCAGCTCCCGCTGTCCTCGGGCTCTGGGTGCCTGCTGACACCTGACATCAGGGTCTCCTCATGTGAGATCTCCTCTTCTGGGCAGAGGAATTGAAAACTAAACTGAAAATGGAAAAAAAAAAAAAAGAAAAATCTAGAAACTTTTGGTAAGAAAGTGAGAAAATAAATCAGGAGAAAGCCAAACACTCCCATCTGTAGTTGGTGGGGAAGTGAAATGCATGAGCCTTTAAAGGGATTAGTGCTGTAAGCAGGGAAGAAGTGGTTCAGACATCTGTTGCAGTGTTGTTCAGGGTTTTCAGCTGGACAAGAACATGAGTTTTGAGCTTGGAGGAGGTGGCTGATGAGTGAGGAGGTGCTGGAGTGGAAGCAGGGCCAGCTCAGTGCTGGCTCTGCCCTGTGTGTGTACCCACCCTGAGCTGGGCAGGAGCTGCAGTGCAGACAGTTGTTTTAGCAAAGTTGGGAATGAAAAACTGCCTTTGCTGCTGCCATTTGGAGCCAGTGAGCCTGTCCTGGGTTTGAAAGGGCAGCAGGACAGCCCTGGGTTATAGAGTGACATGTTTAAAAGGGGATCATTGTGAGTAAGAGTCTGCAGGGGATTTAGGGAGCTTAACAACAATCCCATATGATTACTCTGCAAGGACAGGAAATGCCAAATAAGCATGCTTCCTTCCCAGCCTGCCTCACACAGCCACTGACACATGGTTCCAGCCCCTGCACTTCTTACCAACAATTACAGGATGCTCAGGACCTGTTTTGGGTTTGGCTGGGCCTCATCCCAAGCCTCAGACTCCCTGTCTCTGCAGGAAGTTTCCCCTCAGCTTTCCTGCTTGCAGCTGAGATGGAATCACTTGGCCCAGATCCCAGTGGCAGTGACAGCTGCTGTGTCACCCAGACACAGGGATTGCCTGGAGCTGCCTGTGTAGCCCATATTCCCTAAGGAAGCTTCCATGGATTCCTAGGAGAGTGTACAGTGCTCGCTGTGACGTCACGTCAGGGACCTGTTATTGGAATATTTGTGGAACGGGACTGAACCCCACGTTTTTGGAGACAAGTTTTAGTCTCCAGTCCATGGATTTGCTCCATGCACAGGGAGGGTGGAAAGAGTAAGGAGTTTCTGCCAGACCAGATGGACATTTTTGCTCCTCCTCCTGCCAGGAGTCAGTGGATGAGGCAGAGACTGTCACTTTATGCAGAGGGAAAAGATCTCACCAGAATTGCTTGGAATTACCAGAGATGAGAGTACAGAGATGGAAGATTCCATGGCTCAGCTGCTGCCTTTGCTTTGTCCTGACACCTCTGTTCTAAGGTGTGGCAGTGGAGCTTTACAGACTTTGGTTTGCAGGCCAAGATCAAGAAAGAAATGCCAGGAGAAATTGTCCTGGTGAAAAAATCAACTTCCTAAATATACAGTCCCTCTTGAAACCCGAGAATTCTGCTCTAGGCTCAGATTAGCTCATGGCAGCCTCGCTGCAGCTGCTGAGGGAAGGAGTTCTGGTAACTTCTGCTGGAGTTGGCTGCCTTATCTTGGGTAATTATCTCAAGGTTCATATGTTCTAAAATCTGAGCCCTCGTGGAGCTGAGTAATGCCTGGCAGTCTGCATCAGCATCTGTGTGTTTCCTCTGTGGTTTGGGTGACAGAGGAAATGACAGCTTCGTTCCCATTTTTTTGCCAAAGGTGATCACACCAGAGCCCTGATCGTGGCCATCCTGAGGTCTTGGCAAAGCCTCACCTCCAGCCTCAAAATACTTCCTCTTAGTGGTTTTACTGGTTTGACATTATTTTTTTTTCTCCCCTTTCCCAGGCCTTAGAATCCAAATTAGCTGCTTGCAGGAACTTTGCCAAGGACCAGGCGTCACGGAAATCCTACATTTCAGGGAACGTCAACAGCGCCGTGATGAGCAGCAACGGCACCAAGTACCCACACCCAGGGCACACCTCCTTCTTCGACAAAGGGTGAGCGAGGGACACCTCTGCCCTGCAGGGAACTGCCTTTCAGCAGGACTCTTTCTTGTCCTCTCCTTGCCCACCACAGCTTCCATCCCATAGGACAAATAATTCCTGGGGCCGAAGCCTCCGGGGCACGGGGAAGGTGCTGATTTCGGGAAAGCAAAGAGTGTGGTTGGCTGAGCTGGTGGGGTGGCAGTGCCTGTTGTGTCCTGCTGCTGCCTCAGCTTTGGTGGCTGTAAAACCAAACCCCAGGCAGCAAACCTGCTGGTGGTGAGCATGGCGATCCTTTGAGAGGAGCTCGGGGAAGCAGAGCTGGAGTTGCCACCTTGGGAAGCAGAGCTGGAGTTGCCACAGCTCCTGGTGTGCTCTGGGGATGTGATGTGGGGATTCGCTTGGCACAGCTGAGGGCAGGCAGGAGTGTTCACTTGGAGGGTGGAGCCCTGGGTGCTCACTTCCCTCTGCACTAGGGGAAAAGAGAAACGTCACTGATGGTGTAATTGTGGCTGCTGGGGGGTGACAGGAACTGCTTGCACAGGAAAAAGTACCTCATGTGACCTGCCCCCGGTCAGAGCTTCCTCTGGGGTCGTGGGAAGTGGTTCCACAGGGGGATTTTCCCCAGTTCCTGGGAGCACAAGGCCCTGTGGGTGTATGAGGGTGAAAAGCACAGTGGTCCTGGGGGCAAAACACCCTCCCTGCTCCCTGCACCGTGGTACCATTCCATGTTAAAGCTCATCCCAGTGCAGTTTAATGCTGATACTCAGCACATGCTCAATCCTGCATTTACTTTAGAGGAGGAGATGAGCTTTCCCAGTCTGAAGAGAGGCAGGCAGAGCTGCATCTTCCAAACTGGCACTCAGAGGTTTTGGAGTTGCTGCTGTTTGGAATTGGGAGAGTTTGGAGATGTAACAAAGTCATTGTCCTGTGCAAATCAGACTTCAGGGTTGTGTGTGTGCTGAGGGGGCCCTGCAGCCCCCCAGCAATGCTGGGGGGGGGATTGTGGCAGCTCTGAGGAGGCAACAGGGCTGAACTGGGTGTGGTGTGACCAATAAGCTGATTGCTCTGTGGGTGGGGGGCACTCTGAATTACCCACCTTGTCATCACTTTGTTATCTGGGCTGGTGCCTGCAAGGAGGAGCAGGTTGTGGCTGAAAAAGGCTCAGGAACCCTGGCCCCTGAAGGAGGTGGGTGTTGTTGGGCAGGAAAAGGGGTGGGAGTGACTTATGGGCTCATGTGCGAGTTGGTGGAGACCCTGCTAGATAATCAGGTTAAACCACACAGATATGTCTGAGTTAGTCCTGCTTACTGCAGCCCAGACCTTTGGTAGCACTCAAAGCAGTCCTTCATTCCCTTCCTCTCCTTTTCTGCCAGTTCCTCGCTGGCCAAGCCACGCTCCTTGAATTGGAAGAAAAAAAATAAAAATAAAAAAAGTGAACTGATTCCCTGGACCACGAGATCAGTGTTAGCTCCCTGCAGCTGCTGGGCCTGCAGAAGGCAGGACAGTGTGGTCAGCTCTGGGCTGTGCCCCAGTGTGTGTGCAGGGTGGTGATACCTCTGCTCCACGGAGTTTTGCTGTACTTATTCCCTCACCTTTGAAGATCTGGGATTCTCTTTCCTGTCCAAACGGTAAAACTGCCGACAGTTCAACTGGAAAACATCCACACCCAAAGGTGAAGGATAGGAAGTAATTAGGAGAAGTTTCTATGCACAGATACAGAGCAATACCCACAAGTGTTGTGCTGGTCAGAGCTCACCCTTTTTGGGGGGTGAATTCTGCACTCAGTGCTCAGATTTTGGAAGAGCAGGAGCTTGTCCTGTCCTTGTCCTCTGCACCCCTGTGTGCTGGCCCAGCAGGGTGGGTGGCCCAGGGCTGTCCCTCACCCTGGCTCCTGCTCCCCTTGGTGTCCCAGCTGTGCCCGGAGGTGCTGGCAGTGGGAGCTCCCTGCTCTGGGTCACTGCCTAAGCTCAGGCCATGCTGGGTGGGCACGAGGGGCTGAGGGGAGCTCTGCCCTTCCCTCTGCCCTTTCCTCCTCCCTCTCCACCCCCTGCACTCTCCTCCCTTCCCCTGAGTGGTGCTGGACCCTGAACCAGCCTCACATGGTGGTGGATCTGATCCAACCTGCAGCCTGTGCCCGAAGAGCAGATGGGTGGGGGGGTTGGGGCACAGGGACCTCAGCCCCATCCTCACAGCTCTGTTTGCTTTCCTTGCTCTGCCATTTTGCTGGTTGAAGTGTTTGAGGAGTCTCCAGCTCTTGTCAAGCCCCTGCTCTTTGCCCTCAGGAGGTGGAACAGGGCAGCATTGCTGTAGTAGTGTAAGATGAGTTTCCTGCAGACCTGTCCCTTCAGGAACGTGCTGCTTCTGTCCAGGTGCCAGGGGATGGCAGAACAGCACCTGGAGATGCTCTTGGGTAGATATTTGGGCTTTTTGCTGTTGTACTTGTTCTTAATTGGTTATTTAAGTCAAGTCTAGTTTGGGAACAAAGCAGCTCTGGCCATGAAGGGCCCTGCAGAGTCCTGGCACTGGGGTGCTTGTTCCTCAGGGCATTAACTCCTTGTTCCCCTTCCTGCACTCTTGAATGCCAGAGTCCTTGGAGTTGATGTTTGTTCTTAGTTATTTATCTGAATCAAGTGGGCTCTGTTTTAATAAAACAAGCTGCAGTTTGAATGCGAGGAGATCCTTGCACACTTGCAGCAGTGCCACGAAGCAAAAGGGTGCCTCTGTTACCCACAGCCCTGGTCTGTGCACACCAGGCTGGGAATTCGGGCTCTTCTTTGGGTCCCTGGTCTGCCCTATGAAAAGTTTCCCTGGCAAAGAGGGAGCTGTGGCTGACTCAGGTGAGTAATCCTGGAATGTGCCTGTGCAGAGCAGGCTCTCCCTGAGCAGAGCTCAGAAGGTTTGCTGAGGTCGAGTTCAACACCTCCTCTCTGCCCCCGTTCCTGCATCAAGGGTTATGCTCAGGAATGTCTTTGTTGTGTACATAAACTTTCCCTTTCTCTCCACTAGGCGTGAAAAGGTCATATTCCCCACCTTGGTCATGGGTAAATGAATTCATTTGCACTGATCTGCTGCATGTGCTGTAACCTGGGGCTTGGGGGCAGAGCTGGGCTCTGCTAACTGCACGAGGTAGTTCGTAGTGTCACACACTAATAGGCCCTGATCAGAGCCCCAGGCTGTAATCTCTCCTCCTCCTGACTGTAAATAAACCTCTCTGCTGCTGTGACCTGTTGCAAACATAAGCCTGAGTGCTGCTGCTTTCTTGATCTCATTAATACTTCCAATACCTGCATGATTCTGATTGGACACAGCAGGGACACAGAGGGGAACGTTGCTGCTGGTTGATGGAGTTCATCTGCAAAGTTCGCCCTTTGGTTGTGGTTTTCCTGCAGCATTTTGGGGCTCTGGACTTGTTGATGTGTGGGTGATGTGCTTCTGGCTGAAGGGGAGGCAAACAAGGGCTGGAGGGGGGGAGGACAGTGTGGGGAGGGACAGCAGTGTCCCTGCTGGGTGTCAGCAGCTGGAAACAGCTGGAAGCAGCTGGGAGCACAGATGTGCCAGCGAGGCTGGGCAGGCCCAGGCCCCTGGGGATGGGGGTCCTGCACACAGGGCTCACAGGCCCCACCTGGTCCCTTCTCTCCTCTGGAGGAAGTGTGGAGGGTTCCCTGTGCTGTCCAAAAGGGCAGGTTCCTGCCAGCCTCATCCTGCTCCTCCTCTCACATCTCTGCTGGGTGTTCCTCAACCTCCTGGTGCTGTTGCTGCTGCCCAGGAGAGGAGGAGATGTGTGTTAGAGCCCTGCCCTGCCTCAAAACTCGCTTTCCCTCTGGTTTTTTTGTGGGTCTGCTCTCCAAGTGTGCTTTGAGCAGCTCCATTTACCCTCCAGGCCGGGCCGTTCAGCTCCAGGAGAATCGTGGGCTGAGGTTTTGCTGGATACTGGGAGTTGAGGGAGTCTTGGAGATCAGGTGCTAAGCACAAAACACAGATTGAAATGCTGTTTAGTGAGTCACAATCTGTCCTCAGCAGTCAGGGCAGAGCCTGTGGCTGGAAAGGGGCACAGAGCCCATGGCACTGGAGGGACAGGCAGACAGAGACACCCACCAGCAACCACTGCAGGGGCATTGCCAGCTGCTTCTGCCTGTCTGGAGCACTGGAACCTGGTTTCTTGGGAAGCCCAGAGCAAGGGCACATCACAGAGTGTGCTGGGAAGGGTCTGAGGGACAAGCAGGAGAGGGATCAGGTTGTGGTTAATCCCTGAGGACAGATCTCTGTGCAGCTCCTCCCGTCTGAGACCCTGGAGACCAAGCACAAGGGCTTCTCTTCCCAGCTCTGGGAGCTCAGGCAGGACATCTTATTGGTTATTTTTAACAGTTGCTGTGTTTAAGGTGTTTTACTTGCCTTTCACTCTGGTTCTCCCTGCAGTAATGCTGATTTCTTTCCCTTTTTTTGTGTGTTTTCATGTTGCCACCAGAAATCCAAGGCTGGGTAAGACCTCCCTAAGCTCAGCCCCAGTGCCAGCTTCCAGTACCCCCCAGTTGCTGCTGCTGTTGGGTGCTTTTGCTGTGCCCCAGCACCTTTATTTCTGCACCCAGAGCAAGTTTGGGCTGGTGGGATGTGCTGAGCAGTGCAGGCAGGTGACTCCTGGGGGGAGCTGCCTTGCTGCTTTAATTTTTTAATTAGCAAACAAGGGAGAAACCTCAAAAGGTTTCTAAAGAGGATTTTTGCCTTTCCCGTCTTCAGCAGAGAGGTTTCTGTGTGCAATGTGGTGCTGGGAGCTCTCCACACCTCGTGCTGGGGGACACTGGGGACACTCAGTGCTCACAGCCCTTGCTGCCCTGGCCCTGATTTGGGGCCCCGGGCCCTTCTTCTTTGGGGCATCACTGGGTTATTTGGGATTTAAGCAGGGTTCTGTAATGTCTCTGTGGCATCTGGTCATGTCTGTGTGGCAAACCTGGGCTAGTGGAAGGTGTCCCTGCCCATGGATGATCTTCAAGGTCCCTGTGGTCGTGTCTGTGCTGCTCCTCTGGTGCCTTCGTGGCTTGTTTGGTAGGGAAGTGTCACCACCCAGAGGGAGCAGCAGCTGCAGAGCCAGGAGGGACAGGAAGGTGTCCCAGGGGCACAGTTTGGGTGCTGGGAGCCCAGTTTGGGAGGAGCTGGGCCCCAAACCCAGCAGGGAGGGGCACAGCAGGGGGGCAGGCACACAGGGGTGCCAGGGATGTGGGAGGAGGGCCAGGGGGGTGGCAGGGGCTCTGGAGGCAGTGGCTGGTGCAGAGGGCAGTGCCAGGCCCTGAGCCCTGTGGGGATGTGTCCCCTCCTGCCCGGGCTGGGGGCTCGGAGGGGAGCAGTGGCCCTGCCCAGCTGCCCATCCCACTGTGCCATGCCAGGAGGTGCCAGTGCTGGCCTGGCTGAGCTGCAGCCCCAGGCACTGTCCCAGTGGCTCTGGATTTAGTGCAGGGAATGTGGTAAATCCACAGAGCTTCACCACGACCCCTCAAACACTTGCAGGCTCCTGCTGGTGGATATTCTGTTCTCCAGCCCTTTCCACATTTTAATCCTGTTTGGTGTTGGCTTTTCTGTGGTGGTTTTTTTTTCCCCCTGTCCTACTTGGCAGGGGTGTTTTCCAGCTGGTAACTCATTTGCAGAGTCATGTTGGGATCAGGTTGGCTCTGTGCCCTCCATCCAAACAGGATCAGGGAAATACATTTGTCCCCCAGCCTCTCCAGCAGCTCTTCACTGCAGGCAGGGAGGGTTTTGCCTTGGAATTGTAGCACAGCAACACTCAAATGGGAGCTGAAGTTTCCAGCTGAATGAGGAGGAGGTGAGAGAGGGGGTTCCTCCCTGCTCTCATCTGGTGCTGGGATGTGAATGTTCCAGCCAGGGAGGGACAAGAGCAGCCTGGCTCAGGCTGTGGATGTGTCCTTGCTGTAGCAAGCAGGGAGCTTTTAGCTCTTCACCTGCTGTTCTGGGAGGATTTGGGAACTGCCCCTGCACTGGCAGCACCCTCCTGGCTGTGCTGGAAGGGTTTCTGTGTCCCTGACCCAGGAGGAGCAACATCAGCAGGGAACATCAGCTGCATGGGAATGGTGTGCTGTGCTAAAGGGAGCGTGGGAATGGCTTCCCACTGCCAGAGGGCAGGGTTAGGTGGGATATTGGAAGGAATCCTTCCCTGTGAGGGTGGGCAGGCCCTGGCACAGGTTGCCCAGAGAAGCTGTGGCTGCCCCATCCCTGGAAGTGTCCAAGGCCAGGTTTGACGGGGCTTGGAGCAACCTGGGCTAATGGAAGGTGTTCCTGCCCATGGCAGGGGGTGGCACTGGATGATCTTTAAGGTCCCTTCCCACCCAAACCTGTTCCCAGGTTCTGTGGACAGCCTTGCCCTGCCCTGGGGTCACTGCCAGGAGTCCCCCATGCAGGAGCTGCTGCCACCACGTGTGTCCCTGAGGCAGCAGTGGCATCAATGTGGCCTTCCAGGTTCAGCCTGGAGCCTCCCACTCCCAGGAGGGTTCCCCCATCAGCAGAGCCCTCACACTGCTTTTCCTGCTCCCTTTTCCCCTGCAGCCCAGGCTGTCTCCTCAAGTGTCCCCTCACAAACAGCTCTTCCAGGACACATCCCAGTGGCACCTTCTGGGTGCTGCTGGCCCAGGCAGAGCTGGGGACATTGGGGACATTGGGGACAGTGCTGCAGGGGGGGACATCGAGGCAGGAGCTGCCCTGCCCTTCAGGGGTGTGAGGGTTCCCTCCCCAGACCCCCCATGAGAGCAGGGGCTGGTTTGGGGCAGCAGTGGGGTGGATGCTCCAGGGATGGAATCACTCCTGGTGGAGCGGGGGGAGCTCCGGGGATGGTGACGCTGGACAGGAGGCAGGTCTGTCAGAGCCATCCCCGAGATGGCAGAGCTGTCAGACCCACCCAGTGCTCTCCCAGCCCACCAGGATCAGGTTCTCCAGAGCTCCAGCACCATCCTGGGGGATCCCGGGAGTGGAGGGACCCGGAGCCGCTGCTGATCCCGGTGGGATCAGTGGAGCACAGAGGGAGCTCTGCTGGGCTTCACCGTGGGCAGACATTGCTCTGGGAGTGTGTCTGTGCCATCCCGGGGCAGAGCCTTTGTCCCCAGCCCGTGGTGACAGCCCCGGGGCCACACCTTCCCCAGGGGCCTCTGCCCGCTGAGTGCCAGGGAAGGGACAGGGACAGGGATAGTGGGAACAAGCCCGAGAGCTGCTGGCCCCGGCCCTTGAGCTGCACAGACCCACAGAACGCCGGAGGGCTCGGGGTCTGGGCAGGAACCCTCTCCAGCACATCCCTGCTCCAGGGCTGGGCATCCCCCCGGCAGCCGGAGGTGGGACCCCCGTCCCGGCCATATCCTGGCCCTGCTGCCGCCCTGCCGGGCCGCCAGGGATGAGGGGAGAGGAGGGGGTCGGTTTTCCAGCTGCTGGTGAGGGGGAGGTGAGCAGTGTCCCGTCCCTGTGCCGATCCCTGCCCTAACGCTTCTCTCTTGTCGTTTCCAGGGCGGTGAACGGCTTTGACCAAGGTCCCCCCGGGCTGGGAGCCTCCCGACCGTCCTCGGCGCCGGGAATGCTCCCCCTGAGCGTATGAGCCGCGGGGGGAGCGCTTGGACTTGTGTTCGCTTTTCTCGGCCCAGCAAGAGAAGAACCGCTCCCGCTCCCTCCCCTCCCCACCCCGCTGGAACATGACCCCGAGAGGAGACCCCGAGCCCACGGCCCTCCCCGTCCTGTCAATACAGTTTGTTTTCTCTGTCGCTGTAGTGGACGTTCTGTGCCCCACGAGCTGCCACTCCCAGGGCCGTGTTTGGGGACACGCACGGGTCCTGCTCCCCGGCCCTCGGCCCTTTCCTTCCTCTCTGCTCTGACTCGAGCTCTGGCCGCTCCTCGTCCAGGCTCCCGCTGTCCCTGCAGCTCTGCCCTCGGGGGAAGGCTCAGACCCCTGGGAAGGCCCTGGGGGAGGGTGGGCGATGGCGCTGGGGGCGGTGGCAGCCGGGCAGTGTCTGAGGGGTGTGTCAGTCCCGGCTGCGCCGCTGGGTGTGTTGGAGCCGGCAGGGCTGGAGGAGCGGATCCGGAGCGGATCCGGAGCGGATCTGGAGCGAATCCGGCAGCCCGGCCTGGCCGGGCCCATCCCCTGGCACAGGTGGGCACACACAGCAGGGCCGGGCTCCTCGGGGCAGGGAGGGGGCAGCACAGAGGGGGGACTGTCACCAGCTCCCCCAGATGCCCTGGGGGGAGCTGGCAGGGCTGAGCTGTTCTGCTGTGCCCTCAGGTGTCCCCTGGACCTGCCCCACTGGCCCGGCCCTCCCCCCTCGCAGCTGCAGAGCAGCTCCAGGAGAACATTTGAAGCCCCTGCTGCAGCTGCCCCCACTGCCCACGGACCCCCCACCCCCTGCTCTGCCCCGTGTAGGACCAGAGTGTCCAGTGTCCCCTGCAGGTTCTGTGACAGTGCTGGGCGACTGTGGCACCTTGTGGGTCCTTGGAGCGACACATCTGCGGGATTTCTCTGTCCACGTGCCTCGGGGTCTGTGGGTTTTCAGCCTGAACCAGCGAAGGGAGCCGGGGGTGGTAGCTGGGGGTGCCGAACTCCCCGTTCTGGGCTGGTCCAGCACGTTCAGGGGCTCTGCAGCTTCCAGGGGGTTTAGTTACGAGCTGAGAAAAACCACTGGCCCCGCAGGGGAGGTGGGATGTGCCCCTTGGCCCTTAGGGTTTGTGTGGTCCTTCCTTCCTGTGCATCCTCTGCTGCATTTGACTGTTTACATTTGTTTTATTGTACATAGATTTGTAAACATAATACCTTTGCCTGAGGTCTTTGTACATAACTTGGGCTTTGTAGCTTTATTTATTCAGCCTCTCTCTGGCATGTTTCCGTAGGATGTACTGTTCCACCCCGGTGCCACAGCCATGATGTGGTTTCAAAAAAAAAATGAAAACAAATGAGAGCAATCTTCCAAAAATAAAGTTCTTTTAATGTGGAATCAGTGGATTTTGCAGAACTGGTGGCTGTGGCTCTGTTTTGTCGCGTAGGGTTTTTTTGACAAGTGCAAGGAAAGGGGGCCAGTGCTGAGGTGCTCCTGTTATCCCATGGTTTTTCCCTTGGGAATGTTGCTCCACAGCCCAGTTTGGGCACACGGGAACAGCCACTGCTGTCCCACCTGGCCCACACCAGCCTCTACCACTGGCACCGAGTTCCCCAGTGGTGCAGCGGAACCCGGTGGGGTCAATCCTTAATTTGGGGATGAACCTTGGGGAAGAGTTGGAAGCTCCAGCAGCCAAGCCGGGCGTTTTTGTCTCCTTTTGGAGCAGCTGGAAGATGTTTTTGCTCTGCAGAGGAGCCGCGCTGGGGCCCTTCCCGGGGAGCTCCATCCCCTCCTGGCTGCGGCCCCGGGTGCTGCCGCTCCCAGGGATCGGCTCCAGCCCGGGATCAGCTCCATCCCTGCCACTCCCGGGACGCGGCGCTGCAGCCCCGATCCTGGGGAAGCTCTCCAGTCCCCCCTGCCCGCCCCGTCGGGAGAGCTTCCCCAGGGTCGGGGCTGCTGCCCAGGTTGGCCCTCCATGCCGGGAGGCTCCCGGGGTCCAATCGGGCTGCTGGAACTACCATGGGAAGGGTGGGAGATGCAGCCCCCCAGCCCCTTCCAGCTGCCCTCAGGGTGTTTTTAACCCCGGGCACCCCCCTGGTCCCAGACCCAGCCCAGAGCCCCCACCCAGGACCAGCCCCTGCAGCTTTGCCACCTCGGCCTCAGCTGCCCCTCCCTCCTGCCCCAGCTCTGCCTTCACCCGAGGCAGGTTCTGCACCCCAGGACCTCCCAAAACTGCCCTGGACAAAGCTCAGACCCTGCTAAAGGCAGCAGGGAGGGGGGCTGTGCCTGTGCCCTGAGCTCCCTTTGTGCTACTGTGGCATTTCAAAGGCTCAGCTCTGACCCAGCCGCTGATGCTGTATTGAGATCAAAACAAAAGGGAAAAAAAACCCCAAGCAAATAAAAGAGGAAGAAGGGAAAAGGCAGCTTCCAGTCATATCTTGTTTATTAAGGTCTATGCCAGCCTCGGGAGAGCTCTTCCAGTAAGTAAACAGAGCAGGCGGCCGCATCTAGAATGAATAAATTTATTGTCTTACAAAAATCATTGTCTAGAAATATGGGTATACAAGAAAACAAGATATTTGCAGTCAGACGCCTGGTGGTCAACAGCCAGTTTGATTAAAAATATCCAAACACACACAACAAAACCTTCGCGACAGATGTTAAAGCTTTGAACCAAAAAAAAAAGGGAAATCCATGGGTTTTGAGCATGTGGCAGAGGAAGTTTCCTAGTTAACACTGATTCATTGTCACTAATATCAATAATACCACTTGGACTAGAGAGGTACATGATATGAAGCACAGTCAAAATTAATACATTAAATCATTGTTATATAGGCAAATTATATATGTAACGTTGTCTTAGTACTGTAGTGTCTAAGGCACTTTCTGTAATGTCAGTTTTCAGCTATTTCAACAAAAAGAACGCTAACTACTCACTGTAATACTGCTCAAAATAAAAAAACAACAACAAAACAACAACGGAAAAAAAAAAAAAGGATTCACATCCACTGGCATGTTAACTCGTAGGCAGGCAGCATCCATCCATCCACCACGGGAGCCCCGGCCCCCACAAGCCCCCCTGGGCCCGCAGGACTCCCGGGGGGCTGCCAGGGGGTCCCAGAGCCTCCTGCACGTGCAGCCACTCGGCTCCACGGCCTGGCTCGGCCTCACGTTAATAAATTAGCTTTGCCTGTGTTGTGTGTTTAATTCCCACTGGTGTTCACATTAAAGGAGCCTGGATATCTACAGGGAGGGCTCTGGGCTCACGGGTCTGTACAGGGGGACGGGGACCCACCTGGGTGTGCCTGGACTGCATGAACACGAACGGATGGAGCAGGTGCTGAGAACACTTCAAATGGTATTGCAGGTTAAAAAAAATGGACACTACTCACTCATCCCTACACTTCCCTCTAACACTTCCCAAGGCCGATTCACAGTTCACTCACGGATTGTGTGCGGATCACAACGAGGAGGAGAAAAGAAAAGATAACGGGTGCGGTTTGGTCTTCACTGATCCGAGAGACTCAGCCCAGCCAGGGGCCGGCGAGCCCGGGAGCCTGGAAGGATGCTGGACACAAGGCATGCATAGCCACGGCAAAGGGGTCTGTCCCGGCCACCCACCCCGCTGGGAATGACGCTTCTGGATTGATAAAAAAAAGTTTCATCCTTCACATGATGCTTTTAGAAAATGGCTTTACAATGAGTTATCTGGAAAAAGAGATGCACTGAACAGAGACGATCCCGGTTGTTCGCTATATATAAAAAAAGCGGTTGTACCTATATCTGAAGCAGGGTACAGTGTGGTGAGGCTGGAGAGCCTTAAGACATGGTTGACCTATGATAAGGAGCCTTGTAGCACATGCCGACGGGTCGTAAGGCAGGTTTGGGGCCACAAGGCAGTTCTGTGGGCAGGACAGTCCTGTGCTCCTGCCGGCGGGGCTGGAGAGGTCTCTGCATGCAAAGGGGGGCTCTACTCGGTGGGGGCGGGCGGCGCCTCGTTCACGTCGCTGCCTTTGCTCTCGGCGTCGTCGTCCGACAGCTCCAGGGAGGCCCCTTCGATGTGCAGCTGCCGCCGCCCCGAGCGGCTCGAGGAGAAGGTGATGGGGCCCCCCCTCCTGCAAAGCAGACACGGATTGGGATTGCTGGGGGGCCCTGCCCGGCCCACAGAGTCATCCCAGAGAGGTTCAGGTTGGATGGGACCTCAAGGATCATCTCCTCCCACCCCCTGCCATGGGCAGGGACACCTTCCACTGAAGAATCCCAGGATATGCTGAGCTGGAAGGGACCCCCAAGGATCATCCAGTCCAACCCTCAGCCCTGCCCAGGCCCATCCCCAAGAGTCACCCCCTGTGCCCCAGAGGATCATCCAAACCCTCCTGCAGCTCTGGCAGCCTTGGGGCTGTGCCCACTGCCCTGGGGAGCCTGTTCAGTGCCCAACCAGCCTCTGGGGGAAGAACCTTTTGCTGAGATCCACCCTGAGCCTGCCCTGACACAGCTCCAGCCATTCCCTGGGGGCTGTCCCTGCTCCCCCCAGAGCAGAGCTCAGTCCTGCCCCTCCTCTGCCCCTGCCCAGGCAGTTGGAACTGCAGGGAGGTCTCCCCTCAGTCTCCTCTTCTCCAGCTGAACACACCAAGTGCCCTCAGTGTCCTCACACGGCTTCAAAACAAGGCTCTTCCCTAGCCCAGGTTGCTCCAAGCCCCGTCCAATCTGGCCTTGGACACTTTAAGGGATGGGGCAGCCACAGCTTCTTTGGGCAATCTGTGCCAGGGCCTCCCCACCCTTGCAGGGAAGGATTCTTTCCCAATATCCCACCTAACCCTGCCCTCTGGTAGTTTAAATCCATTGTCCTGTCACTCCAGGCCCTTCTCCAAAGTCCCTCTCCAGCTCTCTTGGAGCCCCTTCAGGTACTGAAAGGTCACAGTGAGGTCACCCTGGCAGCCCTCCCTGCTCAACCCCACAGGGATGTGGCAACTCAGCTCCAGGTCACCCAAAGGGAAAATTTCCACAGGAGTCTCAAACCTCTCCCCTGCCCCAGGAGCCAGCACAGTGTGCTCCACCACCTCTGGCATTCCTGCTTGGTTTATGCCATCACCTTAATTTTTCAAGTCTCAAATAATTTAAGATGCTGTCTCTGTAGGAGCACCAAGCACAGAACAAGCAATGAAGAGAGTGGGTTCTCTCAAAAACTCCAACAGCTCCTTAGTGAAGCTCAGCTCAGCTCAGCACCCTTGAGCCAGGCCTAGCAGTTCAGCCCCTCTGTGCCTCCTGACACAGCCTGTGAGCTGCAGCTGCCTCAGCCCTGCTGCCTCCCCCTGTCCCTGACACACCCCCTGATCCCAAAGACCTGCTCTCAAAGGAACTGCTGTGACACTCCCAGGACAGACAGGATCGGTACCAGCCACTGGAGAAGCACAGCTGAGCCACCTCCTCTGTCACAAGGATGAGCCTGTGGGCTCCCAAGGGCTGGGATGACTCCCTGCTGGCACTCACCTTAGCCTGTTTTTGAGGGTGCTGACCTCCCTGCTCAGCCCCTCGTTGGCCTCCGTGGCATCGTCCAGCTCCCGCTGCAGTTTGCGCCGGGACGCGTTGGCCCGAGTGGCCTCCTCCTCCGCCTCCTCCAGCTGCCTCTTGAGCTGCTTCATCCTGGCGTTGGCCTTTTCCATCTGAAACACCAAGCCAAGTACTTGGGATCCCAGCAGAAAGCTGCCCCCAATGAGCCATCACCACCCCAGCTGGGGCTGCACCACCGGCCTCGCTGCAGGCTCAGCCTGGACCCCCGGAACGCCGCGGAGCTCCCGGGCCTGGCTCGGTCACCACGGCAGATCCCCTCAGATATTTTCATTACACTTCTTCACAAGCCCCTCCTACCCAAAGGAGGTGTTATTGGCCTGTTCAGAGGAACAGCCCCCAGAGCTGAGCCCCCCACCCACCTGCTCCTTGTACTGGTCGGCGTGGCGACGCTCGTCCTCCACCTGCATGAACACCTCCTTCAGCTTCTTCTCCGTGCGCCGCACCAGTTTGTTGGCAGCTGCTCTCTCCCTGGAATAACCAAAAGCCATCAGCACCTGAAGGCTGGGAATACAAGATCTGTCCTTCCTGAAGGCTCTCGTTGTGTAACTGGTACCAGAGTCCTCTGAACGTGCCCGGCACCAGCAGTGGGATGGAGTCAGTGCTGGTGTGCCAGGGACTGGCTGGGATTGTACAATGTTAAGGATTTAGAATGGACTATAAAGATCATTTAAACCCAAGACCCCCTGCCATGGGCAGGGGCACCTTCCCCTAGACCAGGTTCTTCAAGGCCTTATCGAACTCGGTTTTGAACATGTCCAGGAATGGGGCAGCCACAGCTTCTCTGGGCAACCTGTGCCAGAGCCTGCCCACCCTCACAGTGAAACATTTCTTCTTAGTATCTCCCCTAAATTTCCCCTTTCAATCTGTACCCATTACTCCTGCAGCTCTCAGAGCACAAAGCCTTAGCCCTGGGGTGATGTGTGCATGGAAAGAGGGCTCAGAGGGTGCCTTCACAAGGAGATTGGACAGAGCAACTTTAAAGTTGCTGCTAAGCACTAACATGGTTCTGCTGCAGAGCCCAGAGCATAGAAAGAACACAGGTGGTGGTAGGACAGCCCCCACCTACAGATTCGGGGAGGAGCCAGCTAAAAAAAATTTAATTTTGAGAATGAGGATTGCAAGGATGGATAATTCCCTGCAGAAAGATTTCTGGAGAGCAGAGGATTCATCTCAACTCAAACTGGCCCACCTAAGCTGTTCCTCTGACCAAGAGACCAGGGGTCCCAAGGGGACATTTCGTCTCCTCTCAAGTAATTGCTGCAGCACCCTGTGGCTCCTGGGACATCACTCAACATGTCCCAGAGTTCATTCAGCTGTTAGGAAGCAAATTGATTCTGAAACTTTCAAGCCCAGTTATTTTACAGCTGCCTCGTTAAGGTGTGTCCCCTAAGCAGCAGTTTCCAGACAATAAACCTGTGCTCTGAGTTCACATCTCAGTCCTACAGAAAGCTCAGGCATGGAAGTCTCAGGCATTAAACGGACACAGGTAACCAGATTTCATCCCTTACTTGGCTTCCTGCTCAAGCTGCTCTTCGAGCTGTGCAATCTTGGCTTCTAGGGTGGAAATCGTTGCCTTGAATTTGGACTTCACGGAGCCCTCCAGTTCCTGCAGCTTGGCCTTCAGCTCCTTGTTCTGCCTCTCCAGCTGCTGCCGGGCGTTCTCGCTCTTCTGGGCCGCGCTGCGCTCCCCGGCCAGCTCCGAGTTGAGCGTGTCCACCTCGGAGGGGAACACAGGGTCACTCCGTGCCACCCAGAGCCCCCCCCGAGCTGCTCACCAGCCCCACGGTGCCACCCCAGGCTCACCTGCAGCGTGGTCTTTCGGAAGCGCTCGTTGAGCAGCTCCATGTTGCTCTGCTCCTCCTCCAGCTCCTCCTCCAGCTGAGCAATCCGAGCTTCCAGCCGGCGCTTCTCGTCCAGCAGCGCCGACCTGGAGAGGGGAGGGGGGTCAGGATGTGTCCAGAGCCAACAGAGCTACTGGGCAGTTTATTTAGAATTGTGGAATCTCCTCAGTTGGAAGGACCCAACAAGGATCATCCAGTCCAACTCCTGGCCCTGCATGGACACCCCAACAATCCCACCTTGTCCATTGTCCAAACCCTCCTGCAGCTCTGGCAGCCTTGGGGCTGTGCCCACTGCCCTGGGGAGCCTGTTCAGTGCCCAACCAGCCTCTGGGGGAAGGACCTTTTGCTGAGATCCACCCTGAGCCTGCCCTGACACAGCTCCAGCCATTCCCTGGGGGCTGTCCCTGCTCACACAGAGCAGAGCTCAGTGTTGTCCCTCCCCAGGAATCTGGAGGCCGCTCTGAGGGTTCCCCTCACTTCTGATACTTCAGACACAAATCGTCAGGAGCAGCAATTGTGTCAGTATCTCTCTTCATCACAACAAGGAGCTTTTATCATGCAGCCTGACAGTGCAGCACTTGTGAGCCCTCAGAGCAGGGCTGCTGTTCCTGCAGCTCTGCAGTTGCTGACTCACTTTCCTGAAGCGCTGTTCGCAATCTCATCCGCCAGCTCGTCCCTCTCCTGTTCCGCGTGACGACGGGCTCGCTCGGAGGCAGCAAACTCCTGGGAAGGGTTAGGAAAACATCCATTACAGCCTCAGGAATCTCAAAACTTCTGCAAACCATTCAGCCTTATAATAACTTCCAGGAGGTGCTGTGAAGTGGGATATCCCTGAGGGATTTTAATGGATAAGCAGAAGCAACAGCTGCAGAAGTCAGGACACACCAGCTTGACATTCCAAGCCCCTCAATGCCATCTGACTGCAGTGGAGTTACTTCTCCCCATCCCTGAAATGTTCCCCATACAAAGCAAAGGAAAAAAAAAATCTGTGGAGATCAGATTCAAGCCCTCAGCAGCAGGAAAAACCATCCTGGCAATGCTCTAACAGACACATTCAGTGTAAAGGGGGCATAAATTAACAAATGGTTTAGGATCTTATCGAGCACACAGCAAGAATACAAGGAAAGAGTAAAAACCAAAAAAGCTTCAGCACAATAGTATAAACAGCAGTGAACTTCATATTATAAATCTGCATCAAGTGGCAGAAACACCCAAGCATTTGCTAAGAAGGACAATTAAATGCCTGACTGATTGTCTGAAGGCCACAAAGCCCGCCTGGAGAAGCTCCAGCCAGTGGTGGGTTGTCTCAAACAGACCCCAGTGTAAGTGTAGTGAGTTTGGGCAACTACTTCAAGCTTTCACCTGTAGCTAATTTAGACAAAAGAGAGGCACAAGGCAACCCTGCTGCTGTCTGACCTTGGGGCAGACCAGGGAGAGAAATGGGAGATCAGAGAGATCTGGAGCTCTGCAGAAATTGCCAGCAGGAAGGGCAAACATGGCTGTGAGAGAAAGGGATTAGAACCTGAGAGGGCAGAGGGATAAACCTCCACATACTCAAATGGTCCACTGAGATACTCCTGGCCCATTTCTCTGTCCAACTCACTAGACTGATTTTTACTTTTTTTTACTCTCTGATCTAGCAAGAAAAACAAATCTCTTGGATTTCAAGCTCACCTCTTGGAGTTGGAGTATTTCTGCTTCAAGACCTTTGAGCTTCTTTTCACTCTCTTTGGACTGGGCAAAGATCTCATCCCTGGATGCACGGGCCTCTTCTAGCTCCCGCTGGTAGTCCTTCATCTGAGCCTGCAGTTGGAAAGCAGGGTAAGGAAAAGCCATGCTGCACTAGGACAATCACAACATCTATCAGCAGCTCTGAAGCATTCCAGCCTTCAAGATATAAGGTCTTGCTCTCAAAGTGGCTTCATTCCACTTGAATGCATTTCCAGTTCTTCTGTTCACAGGAAAACTTCATTTTCTCATCTTTCCATCCCTCAATTCCTTGCCAGAAATATCACATTCTTAAGACTTCACCTCACATCACTTCACCACAGAATCAGAGTGGAATCTTAGAATGGCCTGGGCTGAAATGGACCTCAAAGCCCATCCAGTGCCACCCCCTGCCATGGGCAGGGACACCTTCCACCAGCCCAGGTTGCTCCAAGCCCCGCCCAACCTGGTCTTGGACACTTCCAGGGATGTGAAAAGTGTTTCTGCCTGTGGCCAGAGGGGTTTGGAACAAGATGAGCAATAAGGTCCCTTCCAACCCAAACCATTCAGTGATTCTATAAAGGGATGAGAGGAGTTTTGAGCAGGGGATATCTGTGTCCAGACACCCTCTGACACATCAGTGGAGTCCAATTCTCCTTTTGCCTTCAAGCTCCAGACGCACTGAATGAAAAGCAACACCCCGGGCCATGTCCCAGGACAGGAAACAGCTCCATTATCCACTGTGCCCACCTGGAGCTTCCTCAGCTGTTTGATGGCTTCATCCCGAGCCTTGTTTGCAGCCTCAATCTGCCCTTCCAGGTCCTTCAGATCCATCTCCATTTTCTTCTTGGCAGCCACCGCCAGCGCCCGCTGCTTGCGCTCATCCTCCAGCTCCGCCTCCAGCTCCCGCACCTGTGGGAACACAGCAGGGCACAGGCTCAGTCCTGCAGCAGCAAACAACCCCAAACCAGGGGCTGGTGACTCCAAAGGGCCTCCACAGAGCAGGGCTAACACATGGGGAAAAGGCTATGGAAGGCACTGCAGATGGCAAGACCAAATCCCCAAACTGGAAGCAGAGATGTCTGAAGGGGCCAAATGGAAAACCAAAGGTAAAACTCGGTGTTCTGAAGTGTGTCCATCCCAGCCCCTTGCCCAGCACACCCACTAACCATCAGGGATGGCTCTAGGGAAGATGCCACTAATTCTGATGGAAAATAAAATGTAAAATCACCTTATTTTCTCAAGAAAACAATAAAACCATTCCCTTTGAACAGCTCTGCTACTGGCATTTATTCACCAACAACTTTTCCCAAAACAAAAGTGTGTGTAGGCAGCAAGTGAACACAGACTGAGCCAAATCTATACAAAAATAAACCAGGTTACCAACATGAAAGAATATATTTTGTTTTGAAGGCAATCTCCCTCCTTGTGCAGGGTCAGGAGCTCTTGTCCAGTGCAGGATAAAAGCAACTGTGCATTGCAGTGAAAATGCTTCAAAAGCTCTCCAGGCAATGTTTATACCCCTATATTGGTGATTCTCAGTCATTGCATGTTTTTGTTTTATTGTGATAAATCTTGAAATATTGTGTGTTTTATTCCTCAACACTCAATGTCAATTTAGAACTATTTTCTCTTCCAAGCATGACATTCTAAAGTCATTTCTTGAGTCTCTTCTGGCCTGCTCTGTGTTTTTAGAATTCTCAAGTCTAGCAAACCTGGAAGCTCTGCCACAATTTTCATTTAGGAGACTGTTCACTTAATTACAGTTTTTGAGTCTATCTCGGCATCCATGGATTCGTTCCTGGACATCAGAGGACTGGCTTGAAAGTGCAAATAACATACCCTTGTCCTTGAAATACACCCAGACAGCAACAGCCAAACCTCTGCCTGCCTGGGGAGGGGTTTTGGAGGCCACCAGCAGCAGCCTGACACAAGGAGTGGTCAACCCTCAGCAAGAACTATTCTATGGTTTGTTAAGATCAGGGCTTGGGATTTCTTAAAGGATGGAATCTTTAAGCAAAGAGTTTTTTTTTTCTGGTAGCACAGAAGGCACAGAGCTGTGGCAAAAGACCCTCACCCCCCTCTGCCCATGAAGCACAAGTAAAACAGACGTACTTGTTTCACCAGCATCCTCTTCTTCTCTTCATTCTGCTCATCTCTGGCTTGCAGATCTCTGTCAAACTGGGCTTTCATAGCTTGCATGTTCACCTCCAAACGCAGCTTGGCATCTTCTGTGGCCTGCAGTTCATCTTCCAGTTCCTCAAGCTGAGTCCTCATCTCTTCCACCTGTTGCTCCAAGGTTCTCTTTGACTTCTCCAGCTCATGGACCTAAGCCACAAACACTGGTCAGACCCTCTCCTTCAGGTACCTCAAATCAGCAATTTCTAACAGCAGAACAAGTCACTGTATGAACTCAGTGCAGTGTGTGATGCTCTAGGCTGGGCAATGAATCAGAACAGGCAGAGCAGCATCTCTAAGTCTGTATCAGAGAACCCAAGAAACATCTGTGCAGGTGAACTGTGCAGTGCCACAGAAAGAGTAGTGAATAAAAGTAAGCCAGGCAAGCCCTTAACTCCAGTGCAGGTGCCACCAGCCACTGTGGGCAGCGGCCAGGCTTGCTGTGCAGCACTGATGAGGCTGGTGGAGCAGGAACCTGACCTGAGCCACTTGCACCTGAGCTCAGCTCGCACCATCAGGCAAGGCTTTACCACTGAACGGTGTCTGGGGTGAAGCAGAGGCCTCACTCACACCCAGTGCTGTCTCAGTGCACGCTCACCCCCCTTACCCAGGCCTGTTAGAAGTGTAAATCTGGTTCCTGGAGGAGACAGTGCTGTGGGGCTGTAACAGGGGGAGGGGAGCTAAGGCTCTCAGCGAAGGTCAGGCCATCTTTGCTGCCCCAGTGGAAGGAGGGAGGACACTGAAGGGTCAGCTCTGTCCTGCCTTTGATTCAACCACGGCTTGGAACTCAGCTTGACCAAAGGTAACAGAAATCCTCATTATCCCTCACTAACTTATGAAAAAATACACCCACCAAGATGAAAATGATGAAGGGGCTGCCCCTCCATCTGTGACAGCAGCAACCTGTAACCAGTTATGTTTGGCCCCAGTCCCACCTCCATTGCTGCAAAAGTGTAAAACTCACATTTGGAATCCTTCATGCAGAGGGTGAGAATACAACTCTGGAAGAGGCCTGATGCTAATAAGGATCACCCCCTTACTCTGAGCATTAATTCCTCAGCATTTTGGGTCACAAGTCACCTTGGGAATGACTATCCTTGTGCCACACACACTTCCCCAGCCAGGGAGGTTTCCCGTGTTGTTCCCAGCATGAGGTTTATAACAAAACAGGGTGTGCAAACATACTCACATTTTTGCCCACATCATCTTTAGAGCTCATTAAATCTTCCATATCTGCACGCAGCTGCTTGTTCTGTCTTTCAAACTCTTCCTTGGCTTCCAGGGCTTCCTCCAAGGCCCGAGCCAGAGACAGTGCCTTGGTTTCCTTCTCCCTCGCTTCTGCCTCAGCACGATCCCTTTCCTCAGCATATCTGGCAGAAATGTTCTTTTCTTCTGCCAGCATCTGAACAGAAGAAACAATTAATCCATCTCTTAAGCTCTGTGATCAGGTCCTTCCTGCCTCAGGTGTTTTATTCAGTTAGTGGCTAATGCTCTAAGTTTAACTGGCCTCCAGAAGCTGTCTAGTCTCTCAGTCTTGATCTAAGTGCCAGTAAGAAAACAGCTACAGCTACTCTGAGATGAGAGGAGGAGAGCAAGCTAGTAATAAGTTTCATATTATTTCCATCTTTCAGTCTTCAGATCCTTTCTTAGTCTGTCTTAAGGGATTATAATAATACTCAAAAGGATTTGTTCCAAAATAATTTCTTTTTTGTACAGGAAGAGCTTATTACTTGATCTAACAAGTCTCAGAGATGGTGTTTAGCTCACTGAAACTGGAAGTGAGAAGTTCCTCTTAACAAAGGCCAACTCCTCACCAAAGATTTATCAATCACCACAGCAGTCAGACCCTTCTTTGTACAAGGCTCAGTGACAATCAAAACAAGATGCCACTTAAAAATTGTGGAAAGCAGCAAGATGGCAGGAACTGGAGTACCTGATCAAACTTCTTCTGCTTTTTCTCCAGGTTAGAGACAATCTGGCGCTGATGATCCAGATCCACCATCAAGTCATCCAGCTCCTGCTGCAAGCGGTTCTTTGTCTTCTCCAGTTTGTCATAAGCCAGTGCCTTCTCCTCCAGGCGCTGGCTTAAGGACTCCATGTCCTTCAGCAGCTTCTTCTTCATTTCCTCCAAGCCTTCAATGGTTCCCAAGTCATCGTCTACCTTTTTCTTGGCATCGGCCAACTGAAATTTAACACAAGAGAGGAACGTCCCTCAGTGCATCACAAGAGGGAGAGAAAGGCACGGGGTCCAAAGTGCAGAACCAGGAACAGATGTCACTGGAAGCTGAAGGAACACAAAAACTGGGAGCAGGGCAAAGTCCTGCCCGCTGCAGGTCATCCTACTCGTTACTGCAAGGGAGAAAGACCACAGGGTATTTTATTCCCAAATGTGGTCTGGCACATGTGTGAGTTACATGATGTGCTTCCTGAAGGTGTGGGACACCAACTCATCTCACCTGGGGCGTGCAGGCCTTACACAAGTCCTGCCACTCACAGCAGCTCACCTGTGACTGCAAGGCCAGCATCTGTTTCTCCAAGTTCTTTCTGGCCTCTTCCTCCTCTTCCTGCTGCTCTTGCAGGTTGTTCTTCTCCTCTTCCAGCTGCCTTATCCTGCTGCTGAGGTTGAGTTTCTGGCGTGTTTCCTCCTGAAGCAGCTCCTGGAACACAGGCACAGTCAGAGTTCAGCCTGTTCACAGTGTGGTAACTGTGGCAGGAGCTGGCACCTGAAACCTCCAGGTTTGATTATTTTTCTCCCAGATTTTGGTACAAGAACAAGCTTATGAAGACATCTGTAATCTGGGTTTTCAAAAAGACACCGATCATTCATTTGGGGCACACTGAAACCTTTATAAAGCATATTTCTGACCAGGGAATCCGTGCCAGGGGCTGTGCTATAAATTAATTTTTCTGTCTTTAAAAGGACAAGCACAGAAAGCACCTTCAGACAAGCATATAGACCCTCTGTTTTAAAACACCTGGGAAGAACATATAGCAGCAAATCCTGCAGTGGTAGCATGCTTCCAAGTTTTTCTGCTTTGTTTAAATATAAAGGTCAGTTTACAGGCAGCTGTAACATGGCAGTGAAAACTTTTGCCATAGCAAAAATTAATGGAAGGTGTAACCACATCCCATCCCCTGTCCCCCATCCTGCTCCTTGTAAACCTCTCCAATTGTGATTAACAATATTCAGGAGTTTTGTAGTTAAGTGGCCACTTTTATAGAGGGAAAACAGAGTATATAGAAGTGATAAATACCTGCAGAAAGCTGATTTTTTAAAAATTCAGAACCAAAACCTGACAGTTTGAACTTAAAACAGTAAGAACTTCTACCCTGTATAAGACCCAGGGTATTGTTCCTCATGTCTTCCATATACCCCAAGAATATTATTGACATTAATATTCTACTTGGAAAGGGGTTTTTTATTTGTTTCTTGTCTCCCACACAGACTTAGATATAAAAGAGAAATTGAAAGGCTACCAGCTATCAGGGAGTGAAGTCTAGATAATGAAAAACTGGTTCCACGTGTAGCTGAGCCATCATTATACATCACTTTTCACTGGACTTGACAAGAAATGCAGCTTCTACCCCAGGGACTTTCCAAACCGTGAATGAAAATGTATTTTCTGTTGGCAGGCAGCATCTCCTTGAGGAACAAAGCTCCAGTGCCAAGTTCAAGCTCTGCTGAACACACACCTGCGTATCCTGAAGCTGAGATTCCAAACTGGCAGCATCCTTGGCAAACTTGATGCCTTTCTTCTCTGCTTCCTCCAGGAGACTGGAGACATTATCCAGCTCATTCTGCAAAGCAAGCAGTGTAAAGGTAAGGGGTGAGCACTGCCTCAAAGCCCACTGGGAGCTGGAACTGCAGAACACAAAACCTCAACAAATTCCAGGTATGGCAAGACAACAACAGATCCCAAAACAGAGAGAGAACCAGCTAAAAATACTGAAGTCTGGCCAGAAACTTCAAGTTGAATGTCAGTCCTGAACTGATACCACAAAACAAGTCTTATCTTATTAGGTTCAGCTACTTAGCACAGCACATTCTGATACCTGCATTCATACTTCAAGGCTATTTTTAATTCTAGGTCCATATATTTTATGAAATCATTAATCCAGGGATTACCAGGGTGGCAGCAAGAGAAAAGGTTACTGCCAGGTGCCAAGTCTTAGTATTTTAGGCTATGCTACTCTTATATACAGTGAGATACAGCCTGAAACCTTCCTCCAAAGAGAACTGGGCCATTCTCCTTTTGAAGTACTTTAGCTGGATTTACCTAAAGTACACACTGCTGGGTTTAAATGTCAGCCATGGCTCAACTTTGCCTGTTTTCTCCATTTCCCAGGAAACTGGGCCTGTCCTTGCAATCCCTACCTGTCAAGCTCCCACCTCTGAAGCACAAAAGCAAACTTGTGGCCACCATCAATCATTTTTGGTTATACCTATGGAAAAGCTCAGCCTAATCTACTCAATTCCACAAGCAAAGAACTTGCAGGCCAGCTGTCAGCAGCTGGGCTTCCTACAGGAGTTGCTCTCTGGGGTGGAAGCCATTTAAAAGCCACTTTAACTCTCACACAGCCCAGCAAGTTCAGGATTAACATCACAGTTTGTTCAGCTCTCTCCACCTGAGGTACATCACCACTTTGAGGCCCCTCTAGTCTGAGGTGACCTGCCATGTCCCCTGCAGGCCATTTCTGCACATGGCTACAGCTTTTAGCTTCCTGCCCATTTTGCAGCAGTTCAGGACTTCCTTACCTGCAGCTTGTTGGCTTTCTCCGCCAGCTCCACCCTGAGCCTCTCCCCTTCTGTGACCTTTGCAGTCAGCTCCTGGACCTGAGCATCGAGTTTCTTCCTCTTGTGTTCAGACTCTGCCTTGACCTGCTGCAGCACCTTCACTTCACAGGCCAGCTCCTTGTTGTCGGACTCGAGGCCTTGCTTGTTTTTTTCGAGGTTTGCTTTGAACTGGGAAAGACAAAAGAGATTCAATCCTCTGCTACAGGTGGCTATTTCCTGCTACAAACTGTTCTGCAAATCAGGTTTGCAAGTTCAGAGATAAATTAAGTGCTCAGCAAGTTGTAAGCAGAGGGAGTGTTTAAAATGCTGCCATGGAACATTCTGTGTGTGTGTCAGCCCAGGATGAGTTAATGCAAGTTATTCTGCTCTCACACATCACAGGTACCAGGGAGGACCAGGAGATACAAGATGGGATTTCAGTGCTGTAAAATGACTGTTTTAGCAGCACTGTAAGTGGGAAGGAATGTGCCTATTACCAGCTCAGCATGGCTCATCTCACAGAAATAAAAGGGAAGATATGAACCAAAGCTGCCCTGATTTGAGTAGGCAGAGCAGCCTGGAAGTGCAGAACAAAGCACTTCTCAGCACTGCACTGACATTTGTCAAAAAGCTTTTTTAAAAAGCAGTAACTGGCATAAGGGATGTTAAAGTGTGATTCTTACTATATCCCCAGAACTGACATCATCTTGTCACAGGACCCTTTGTTCAGATTGCAGGGTGTTTTTCCATTTTTTTGTGCTCTCATTGAGAACATTTAATGAATAAGGAGCAGAAGACATGCATGAGATCTTCAGGTGAATAAAGCTGGTGAAAAGCAGAGTTTAACTGCTACATTTCTCAGTTTAAAATACTAATGAAGCTTGTGAAATATTCCCAACATAAATAATATTATTACAGGATATGAATTGTCCACATACATCTGTGAATGACCCAGACTATAATTTCACAAACTAGACACAACTCAGCTCTGCAGGTAGCATGGAAGGGACCACACCACCTTTGGTACTTATAAAAACTCCTAAAGCAGAAAATTCCTTTTCTTCTCACCCTTTTGGCCTGTTCCAGTTGCTCAGAGAGCTCTTCCAGGGCAGTGGCATGCCTCTGCCTGATCTCCTGGATCTGTGCTTCGTGGTTTTTGGTTTCCTCTTCAATTGCTTTCTTCAGTTCAGCCACCTCCTGCTCACGTTTTGTCCTAGAGGAAGCACCAAGGGTTAGCAAAAAACTCAGCCTTTCAGTCCTTTTTTTAAAGATGAATTTCAGTGGTGCCTTCTTACACAGACATGTGCTCCTACCTCAGCTCCTGCTGTGCTGCAGTGGTATCCAAAGTATCTTCCAGTTCAGTTTTTAAAGCCTCCAACTCTTCACTTAAATCTCTTTTCTGCTTTTCTGCCTTGTTACGTGAGGCCTTCTCAGACTCCAGGTCCTCCTGCAGTTCTGCAATTTGGGCCTGCAACTCTCTTATCACTTTCAGTGCATTGTTCTTCTGAACTGCTTCTTCATCACCTCTGGTAAATAGTAGCCCAACAATTAATGCTATTTCACCTGCTCTCAGAACAATCTATTTAAATTATCTGCATAAACGAGATCTTAAATTTTCCATTAGAATAAAACAGACCTTCTAAAAAATGCCAGAATGATGTGGGTTAAGGGACCTTAAAGATCATCAAACTCCAATGCACCCCCCTCCATGGGCAAGGACACCTTCCACCAGCCCAGGTTGCTCCAAGCCCTGTCCAACCTGGCCTTGGACACTTCCAGGGATAGGTAATAGATATGGTAGATAAAATCCCACTCTCAAGCACAATGCTGCAGGTTACAGGTGCATTCTCAGAATGATCAAGCTTTAGTTTACACTCAAATGTTCCAGTTTTGTAGATCTCAACACTGTCCCAAAAATGTTCCACCTGTACAATTTTCTCTTCCCACAAAACTGCCAACCTCAAAAAAAAAGATGTTTAGCTCACATCATAACATGTGACTGCAGCACCACCCCAGAAATGCAGATAAAGCCTGTCCTGCTAAATGTCTGACAGAACTCTCTTAAAGGAAGACACACTAAGAACTGCACGTTTTTCTCCTCCTAAGGCTGAATTCTGTGAGACTAAAAAGCTTCCAGAGCCCAAAAACTGTTTTACACTGGGGTGAAACTTCTGGGGAGGTTTTTTTGCAGCTCTGCAGAGCAAGGATGCTGAGAGAGCACTGAATTCCTTTATTTGGCTCTGTCTACTCACAGCACAGGTGCCCAGAGATGCTCCAGCACGAATGAGAACTGGCTCCTGGGCCAACATTCCCAGTTCCAACGTGCAGCCAAGCAAGTTTTGGTTCAAAGCAGATTTTTCCCCCCAGTTGTGCAGCCCCTGCCCTGACCTGGCCAGAGCAGCCTGCAGCTCCTCCTCTTTCTTGGCCAGCTGGATCTTCAGCTCCTCAATCTGGGCTTGCAGCTCTGCTATTTGGTCCTGCAGGTCTGTTGTTTCACCATCCAGTTTTCTTTTAGCTTTTTCTAACTCCTGGCGGGTCTTCTCCTCCTTTTTTAAGCGCTCTGAGGAAGCAAAGGATGATTATTGATAAATAATTTTTTTCTCCTGTCACCCTCAGAAGGTTTGGGGGCAGGGCCATGGGGTGGCAGGAAGGGTGGGAAGTTTATTTTATGCTGTCTCAATTCTTTCTCCAGGCCGAGAAAAATGAAACACAGAACTGTGTGATTGAGTCAAAAAGTCAAGGAAAAGCCTGAGAATGGACAAAAAAAATTTGAGATGATGGAACAGAAACATAACCTCATCTTGGTAGGAAAGGAGCAGGATCTAACAGAGCAGTTGTCAGGCCAGATAATCACAGACATCAACATTCAAAGATGAAGATAAACTATGGGCTGGGAAAAAAATGGCTTTGGAAGAGCTAGGCCAGACTCCAAAAGGTCTTCTGGAAAAGAGTACAGCTTAAAGAAAACTTGGCTAAACCATTTTTCCAAGTGTTTGTGCCACTAACTCACATCCCAGGGATATTTAGCAAGACTCTGCAACCCCAGGAGCTTCCTCTCAGTAATTTCCTCGCGTGGCCAAGACACTCCTGCCCTGAGGAATTCCTTGTGAAAACCCAAGTGCCATCCAGCACCTTCAGCTGACCTGCCTGGTGTCTGATTGAGACAATTCCTGGCTGAATTGTTCATAGTCACCTAACGAGCAGGGATGGAAGAGATTTAAGTCCCAGGAAGGTTTTGCTCAGCAGAGCATTAACGTAATTCTAAATGCAGTGGCATAAACTGGAGTTATTACACTTGTTTGACACTTTGTGGATCCCCAGTGCAGAGATTTCTCTCACACCCTTCCTAAGCCCGCTACTGGATCAGGATCATGGTCAAGAATCACCTCTTAACAGCCACCCAGGGCTATTTGGGATTTTCCAGACACCCTAAAGTAACACTGTTCTTCTCCAAACAGTTTCTCATTCCAAAAAAAGAGCACTTTTCCCTCTGTTTTTCCATTTTGTTCCCGGTCAGTGACAGTTGGAGCAGTGTCACAAGACCCAATTTTGTAACTGAGAAAGTTCCTAGCAAACTGAATTAATTTTTTTTTCCCCAAATATCACTGCCTAGCAGTGCCAAGACTCCAGCAGAGAGACCTTAATAGCTTCTTGAACCATCTCCAAGTGTAAATATCATTTTACTGGGCCTTACTAGCCAAGAAATTGCATGCCTTATATTTAAGCTCTAATTTCCATTTCTAAGGTCATCAGTCTTGGAATGGCACAGTAACCAAACACATCTGTCAGGTCTCTAGTCCTGATTTAAGCACGAGCTACTCAAGCATTATTTTCCAGTGAGTAAAGCTTACTTAGACCCATCTTAAGGTCTCTGAATACAACTGTTAAAGACAAAGTACATCAGTCACTTACTACCCCTATCAGTCCAATACTTTCCTATACTGATAAGGCTTTGCTGTTCTTCCATAAGCACATCAGCTTTAAAATATGCAGCAAGACAGGCCATAACACACAAAGTGCAAAAACTATTTCCAAATTAGGGCACAGAGAGCAACTTTGCTTTATATTTTGCAACTTTGACTTGGCAGTTCGTTAACGTTGCAAAATGTCTATTTACAACAATAAGCAATTTGAAAAAGAAACAACATAAAATGAAGAAAGGTTACACATGGGGCAGGTCTAGCCTGTGACAACACAGGCAAAACAATAAGAAATAAATGGATGAAGAAATGGAACTCTTTTAGAGAGAATCACAGAGCGGTTTGGGTTGGAAGGGACCTTAAAGCTCATCTTGTTCCAACCCCCTACCATGGGCAGGGACACCTTCCACTAGATCAGGCTGCTCAATGATAAAATAAATAATTTATAGAAGTATAATGCAGATAAACCATTAAGAAAAGCAAAAAAATGGAGACTTGCTTGTTAAAAAAAATAAAATATGGGTAAGTCTAATGAATCCTGCTGCCCTTCTTCCAGAAATACATGGCTCTGAAAAGTGAAGCAACTTCCCAAGATGTTTTACCTCAGTCCTAAAGGATGCAGGGAACAACAGGGATTTCTAAATTTCTCTGTAAATGAAATGGATTCTCAAAAACAAAAACCTGACAAGTTCAACAGGAGAAAGACTGAGCAGCCAGATGCCACATGTCTTACAGAAGACACAAATTTCCTCCAAGAATTGGCTCCAAATACCAGCTGTGAGGTATCTGCAGATACAGCTCTGCTTCCCAGAGCGGAGCAGACACTGCAGACGTCGTCCCAGGGGATCCATCCCTTCCTGGCACAATGGCCAGGCTGTTAACAGGCAAAGCCAGGCAGAACCAACCTTCCAAATCAGTGATCATCATCTCCTGCTTGTTCTTGAGTTTGGCCAAGTTTTTGGCCTTTTCTTCTTCTTCAGCCAGCTGAGAAGAACATTCAGCAATTCGATCCTCCATCAGCTTCTTTTCCTGGTTGGGAGGAAGGGGAAGAACAACTTGTAAAACATCACCTGAAGAGGCCCTGAGCATACAAAACCAACAGAGAGGTCTCTTGCAGCACATACAGATTTCATTCCAAGTGATTATCAATATTAAAGATTGAGTGGAATTGTTTAGAAACACAAACATTTGTGTTCCAAGAGAGACCTGGAATTTAACTCATGGCAGGCCTGGTTTTACGACAGCTTTTGGAAACCTGTTTGCAAAGAAAAATGGCAGCTGTGATAGTTTCCAGCTCTTGGATTTGGAAGAATCACGAAACTGGAAAGAGTGCATGACAAATAATTCCCTTGGGAATGTCAGTTCAAGTGAATCTCCAGTGTCCACAAGTCTTCAGGTGCATCCTTTACAGATAATGTCACAACAGGCTCCAACTGAGAGCAGGCACCTGGCACCACCATTCCCTGTGTGCAGTCTCTCCACCATGCACAGCGGTCTCACCTTCAAAAATTTGGAATTTTGGTCCTCCAGCAGTAGGATCTCCTCCTCCATCTTCTTGATCTTTGCCTCAGCTGTCACTTTTTCAAGCTGCAACTTCTGTCGAGCTCCCTCCTCCTCATCAAGCTGTTCCTCCAGATCCTGGGAAGAAAGGCAACAGCATCTGTGCATTATCCATATGGTAGCTTTTTTTTGTTTTGGTTTTTTTAAACTTAGTGACAAAGATGAATTATTTTAAAAAGCCACCTGCCCAACCACACACTAAAACCACATTTGCTTTGTTAGATTCATTTGCAGTATCGATGATCTGGGAATGAAATTAAAGGTCCTGTGATACACATGGAATTTTTTATGCTCTGTATTTCAGCTTTGACTGAAATGTGCTGTCTAGGAAACACACGCCCATTTCAACAGCCTTTCACCTTTTTAATTCCAATTATAAAATGTTAAAAATGTAATTAATGACAAGTATTTTAAGAGACAGGTAAGTTCTCAGGTACTCCCTTTTTCAGAGACCCTGTTATTCATGAGGAAGCATCTATATGATCTTCACAAAATACCCCAACCAAGTAACTTGGAAGAGAGGACATTGTCTGAAGTTTTGTAAAAGTCAAATGAGGAATATTCTTCATGATATTCACTGGATTTAAGTCAAAAAGGAACATTTCTCTCAGAAGTGACATCATGTGGTCAGTCTGGTCATTCCTGGTTCCTTCCCTGTCAGAAGCACTTGCTGTCTTTAAAGATCTTTAAAGAATTTAATTCTTAAAAGAATTCTTCTTTAAAGAATTCCTCCTTTAAATACCAACAGGGCATCCTGACTTTTCTTCCTCTCCTCACCCTCATATATCTAGAGACACATGAAGCTCATCAAACTGGACACAGGGAGAGGAGAAAAAAATGCACTTATTCCACTCTGTGAAGGTGCTGAGGGAGCTTCCCCACCCTTAACTCCATTTCCAGCTCCTGAGAACCATACCTGAATATGGCCCTGCATTTTCTTCTTCTCATTCTGCAATATTTGGTTTCTCTCCTCTTCTTCCTCAACCCTGGACTCCAAATCATGGAGAATTTCTTCCAGCTCTTGTTTTTTGGCAGCCAAGCGAGCCCTCATCTCCTCAGCTTCTGCAAAGAGCTCTGTCTCAGCCTGGAGCTGCTCTGCGAGGATGTTCTTCTCTTCTAGAAGCTGCAAACACACACAAATGAAGTAAAACCTTAAAAATGACACTTGAATGTCTCTCGTGAGAGATTATACGTAGGATAAAGTTACTTAAAGACCAAGTTCTGCTCCGATTTTTGACTCCCTGGTCAACATCCCAAACCAAACACTTTCAGATGGGATTTTAGCTGCAGTTCAGAAGACACCACTTGTGGCAATGAGGTTACAGCAACATTCCCTGCTTGTCCTCCCAGTTTAAGGAACAAATCTCTCTGCACCTCCTCCACCTTCCCTGTTCTACCAGCAGCAAAAAGATGGAGGAATTGCCCATTTCCTGGACTGTTCCCTGCCCTCATCCCTGCAGTGGCAGAGCAGTGCCATGGAACACATGACTTCCTGCCAGTCCCAATCCCGACCCCTGAGGATACAACTTCTCACTGGCCTCCACTTGGACATCAATCTGTTGACTGCAACTCCTTGAGTGCCACCATCCAGCCCATTCCTTATCCAGTGAGGGGTCCACCCCCCAAATCCATGTGTCTCCAGTTTAGACACAAGGATGTCGTGCTGGACGTGTCAAGAGCTTTGCACAGGCCCGGGTAGATGACACCAGGTGCTCTTCCCTTCTCCACCAAGACTGTAACCCCACCACACAAAACCACCAGGTTTGGACAGTTGTCATAAGTGTTTCCCCACTCCTCACCCAGCCCACGCACAGGCTGACACTGCTACTGAAGCTCTCCTGTAAACCAGGAAACAGGATGTTTCTGCACCCCTGCAGGAACAGCTCATGCTGTATCTTCCTATTCCATATTCCTGGTGACTGTGAAAGGACTCAGCTCTCCTGATTCTCAGTGCTTTTGCTCCCCAGTGTCTCCCAACATGGTTCCATGGGATCACTCATGTCCTAGATATCAAATGCTGATCTTAGGCACCAACCTGTTGATGTTTCCTTTCCATTTCTTCAAGTTCTGCCTCCACTTTTGTCTGTTTTTCTTTCACCTTCATGAGCTCCTCATCCTTGGCTTGAAGTTCTTCTTCCTGACGAGTGACCTGAAGAAGAGGCTTCACCTGCAAAGATTTGAGAAGAACAAGTGAGAACCTGCACTCACCTATTTACAGGTGAATATAACAGAAGAGAACATCAGGAACCTTTGTGAAGACTCTCCACCACTGCCAGTGCCTGAGCTTTAAATATGCAGCACAATTCCTCTGCAGGATTTTCAGTGCACTCAGCTGCTGCTGTTTCTTTGCAAAGGCCCTGAAAGATGGACAGAGCAAAAAGTTTGTGTTAAATGAAGCTGATCACGTGTCCCAACTCTAGAAAACTTGCAGACCATGAACAGGCTTGTTTATGAGTTACAATGATTTGGGTTCTCACTCCTGTGAAGAGTCAGAGCAAGAGCTGGAATCACCATTTCCAGAACAACAACCACAAATGCTATTTATTCTTACTCTTAACAGGCTTTTTTCTTAAAAAAAAAAAAAAAAGACTAAATCAGGATGGATTAGACACTTTGATTTCAAAAAAAGCAGCTTTCCAGAGTATTTCTTGGAACCTCCAGTGGAACGGGAAGAGAGGCTTTCTCTGCAGCCACTGTAAAGAGCTGCATGTGTCACATGAGTGAGGAAAGGAGATACCAAGGAATGAAGGTGCAAATTCTTATTAGGTAAAAACTGTCTGATATCCTGAACACAGCTACAGTTTATCAGGAAAGACATTTAAGAAAATCTCTCTTGAAATGGAAGTTTGGATGCACAGCTCCCTATCAAAGAGGCTTAGGAGACCCAAAAGAAGATCAAACCACACGTACTTCCTGGCCAGGTACCCTCTGCACACTGCCTGGAAGAAGATGATGATGTCTGTGATCTTCAGATCCCTCTCTTCTTCCAAGTGTGCCAAGACACCAGCTCTGAAGAAGATCTTGCTCTGGCCAATTCTGTATAAGTTGGGGTCCAGCTCCAAGGCTCTGATCTAAATGGGACAGGCGAGCACATTGTTGTTACACCACGAAAAGGGCAATTTTTGTTACAACTTTTCAGTGCTTCGTCAATATTTAGGTAAAAAACACTTACCATACGCTCACAGGCTTGCTTGCCATCCATGAAACCCTTTGGAATTGCATTGGGAGTAAGGATCTCGTACCTTTAAGGCAAATGAAAAAGCACTTTTACATTCAACAAGAAGCTGTATTATTTATAGTATAAATGTATAGCATAAGGCTATAGTGACAAGTGCATGGGTAAGGAATTTCTCCAGGAAGTTTTTCCAGCAGATTTGTTTCCCCTTCCCCTACTGCCTTCAAAATAAACTTGGAGTATTCAACTGCTTCAAGTTTGACCTCCCACATGGGTTTTGATTTTCTTTGAGGAGGGTTGGGGGAGGAGGGAGGAGTGTGGGGTTTCTTCAATTATTTAACAAGGAATTTTAGTTCCTAATAACTCAAAAGACTGTTCCTGCTGTTACCTCTGTCTGAACTCCTGGAACACTATCCTGTTTGGAAATCCTTGTCGACAGATCCTTATTCCTTCCAAAACACCGTTGCACCGGAGCTGATCTAGAACCAGATGTGGATCCAGTTTTCCAGCCTGGACAAAACAAAACAAGCATTATTTTTAGTCTTTCAGTTCATATTAGTGAAAAATTAACTCCTAACTTTTAACACTGCTCAGAGCAGGTGGAAGGTGGACATGCTATCTGACACACTTGGGGTAACAAAAGCCTGACACCTGAAATCCAAACTGTTCCTATTTTTGTGCATCAAGATAAATGGATACCTCTAGAGCACCACCCTAGAGGAAAAGAGACAGTGCCACAACATCATTTAACAAGAATACTTGGACATCTGCTTTAATTTAATCATTAACACTCTGCTGGGAATGAGCTGGGTTGCAACTAAGTGTTCACAAGTTCCATATGTTATCAAAACTGATTTTTGTCAATAATGAACATTTAGTACACAAGTTTCTGAAACCAGAACTTCCTACGAGGCACAAGTATTTTACAGGTCATTTACTGAGAGATGTTTTGCCCCTAATAGGAACCAGGATAGCAAGTGGTATTTGCCACCTGACTTGTATCCAAGTGAACGTTATCCTTTATTTGCTCTGGAACTGGTTGAGATTAGACAGAAGTTCTTCCCCCAGAGGCTGGTTGGGCACTGAACAGGCTCCCCAGGGCAGTGGGCACAGCCCCAAGGCTGCCAGAGCTGCAGGAGGGTTTGGATGATCCTCTGGGGCACAGGGGGTGACTCTTGGGGATGGGCCTGTGCAGGGCCAGGAGTTGGACTCCATGATCTTGTGGGTCCCTTGCAGCTCAGCACATTCTGGGATTCTGTGATATGTTTTTTCATGGAGATTCAGCAGAAAATATCTTTAAAGTCTCCTTAAGCACCAGACATTTACCTTTAGAGGATGTATACACAGGGATCTGTCTTGCCAAGCTGTGGATTGACCCTGTGCCTTCACCCAACGAGTCTGTCTTCAACCACTGGCAAGTTGTGCATAGCACACAGTGAACAGAGCCACCCAATTACCTCCTGGGAGGCACTGGATTATCACACAGAATCAACCAGGTTGGAAAAGACCTCTGAGATCATCAAGTCCAACCTTTGACTTATTTTATAATTTTATTATTATATTAATTATTACATATTGATTATTGGATTGGCCCAACTCAAGGCCTTGTATACGTTTTTTAAGTCAAAGCCCTTTGACGAGCTCGTAGCACCAAGCCTGGGGTCTCACACCTCCCAGACAATCTCAGTACTTTGTTTTTCCAATAGGGCAGCTCTCAGTGAGACAAGAGGGCAGGGTCTTAAGCTCTGCCAGGGGAGGTTTAGGTTGGATATTAAGAAGAAATTCTTTACAGAGAGGGTAATCAGGTATTGGAATGGGCTGCCCAGGGAAGTGGTGGATTCTCCGTCCCTGGAGGTTTTTAAGATGAGACTGAATGTGGCATCAATGCCATGGGCTGGGAACCAGAGTGGTAGAAGATCAAGGGTTGGACTTGATGACCTCAGAGGTCCTTTCCAACCCGGCTGATTCTATGATTCTGTGATTCAAGCTACTCTCCATAAAGACAATGGTTTAAATCAGGGGATGTGCAGGGAATACCAAGAGGATATTCATCAGTGTGAGATCTGTGGATTCTGATTTCAAAAGAAAGACCCAGACTCCTCCTCCTCCTCCTTCCAGCCTTCCCAGAGCCACACCCAGGGGGAAAGGCAGGTGAAGACTGACAAGGAGCAGGGAGCAGGGGAGGGGTGTGCAGCCCATACCCTCTTCTCGTGGTTGGGGATGATGCAGCGCACGAAGTTGGGGTTGGTGTTGCGGAGCGTGGCCATGAGCTTGGTGAGGGACTCCTTGTAGAGCTGCCCCACGGTGCGGAACATGCCCTTCTTGGTCTTGTAGGCCGAGCCGAAGGCCGTCTCCGTGATCCCAGTGACCTGGTCCAGCCCCACGATGCGATCCACTGGGAAGGACAAGAGAACAGAGTTCAGGGGGCTCTGAGCTTTGCCAGGAGGAGAGGGAGGTGGCAGGAGGAGCGACAGTGCAGCAGCAGAAGCTTTGCGGGACAATGACAGAGGTGCCGTCGGAAGGCAAGGCGGGGACGAGGGACGCTGTGCACAAGCTTTGGGAACAAAAGCCACAAACTTATCCAGCAGAAGAGTGTAGCTTTAGTAGGTACAGACTGAAATATCCAGCTCTTTACTTGCAGTTCTACATGACCAGAGAAGCTATTTTCTTTGTCTTAAGTCAGCTTTACGGAGATAAAATAAAGCTGCCTGGAAACCGGCAATTATTGGAATTCTCACAATGCAAAATATTTCTGGGTTGAACATTTGGAATGGCACATCTGTGTATATTTGCTTCAAGTGAAGAGTCACTTATGACAATTCTATAGATTAAATCTGAGTTTCATTGAGTATTCAAACGTGTTTTCATAAAAATTTACAGAAGAATTGGAAATACTGTTACTTTAATGATGAGAGGGGAAAAGTATCTGGCAGACTTGTGCTGGGCTGCTATTTTGAAGAATTCTTTCCATTTTATTACAACTACAAAGAAATCCCTAGTCAAAAAAAACAAGTTTCAAACAGGGAACACTCCACACCAAAGCACTTCAAAGCTGCCATAAAGCATCAGAGTGGAGATTTTTCTTTGATTTTTCTGAACATTTTGGGTGAGGATCCCTACAGTTCATTCTTCAGAAGCACAAATTCGAAATCTGACTGCCAACACTAAAACCTTAAGGCCAAAAACATGAAGGTGATTCCAGGTGCATGCCATGAATTATATAAACAGTTTACTAAAAGGTACAAGTGGTGGCTTAACACCTTTAATAATTATTGCTGGTGCTTCTTAATACTGAACAAACACCCAAAATATGTGGGTTCCCAATGAAATCCAAACTGGCCAGCCAGAAACAAGCAGCTATTTGTAGGCTACAGCTTCAATTTTGTGAAGTTATTTTATCATTTAAACCAAAGCAGAGGCAGTTATGCTTTGCTACCAGAATTAGTTTTGTATCTGACAGGTAAGTGACACTATTTTATTTCCTCCTTGTACTCAGCTGGCTTTCAAAAGTCTATTAAAATAAAAAAAGAAAATTAAAAGCAGAAAAACACAGGGCAACAAGTTTGAATAATCAGTTGTAGGTCTTGGCTGGAGTACAGAGCAGAGCCCAGCTCCTCCACATGGTTTTGAACACAAGAATCTACAGTTTATAAAAGTTGGAAAAATAAGTAGGTGGCAAGGTGTTCATAAATCATATCCCGAATTTTTACTCTGAAGCAGAATTCTGCTCTAAATCAGACATGGGACAGAAGTTAATGGGAGTCAGTCCCAGAGAAGGATAACAGCTTGTGAATATTCGGAACCTGCCCCCACCAGCCCCACTAAGGGCTGGAACCCCCAGCTTTGGTTTGGGAGGTACTTTTGAAATTTGGTCTGATCTTGTGATCTGATCCTTGTGCACTTTTGTTTTGCTCCCCTCTGTGCTCCAGCTTGAAGAGGGTCATTTCTATTCCCACCAGGATTATTAAATCTAAGCTTTGCCTACAGTTTAAGAGCAGTCCCTGAACTGCAGGGCTGGACCATCATCCCCTGGCTGAAGGCCCCGAAACTGAGCCCTCCAGGAATGACTTTAGGAACACCATGAGCCTCCTCAGGGATGGGATGTACCAGGAGCAGTGGAAAATAAACCCAAGTAAAGGCTGAAAGTCTGAAGGCACAACCTTCAATATTTCTAAACCTGGGGAGAGGAATACAAGGAGGATGAGGAGGTTGTATAAAATATTGAAAGTGTATTCAAAGACATTCCAAGCAAGTGGGTTTGTTGATTTCTCAATACCTCAAAAAACACGTGCTGTTTATACAACGGGGAATATTAAAATTAGGAGGTTTTTAAATAAAAGAACAATTCCAACAAGTCTGGAAGAAGTTTTATTTCACTTACTACCCCCACTACAACTGCAGCACTCATTCTGATACTTCAACACATTCTTCAGCTCTCCTCCCAAAAGCACACAGCCACGTTCTAGAACATTGCAGAGTTTTGTCAATGTTGGACTGCAGAAAGAAGCTTGATAAGTGTTACAAAGCTTATGCATTCTCCCAAATGCTTGGAGCTACCAGAATTGTCACTTAAGAAGCAATTCTACATCTCCCCATGGAACTAGGAAGCAACAAACCTTGTCATCTGCAATGCATAACTGGAGATGCTATGTGTGTTTGCAGCAGCAGCTGGACAGGAGCACTCAGGGACTGCTGGCCTGTGGGGGTTTTACCTAAACCCAGCATGAAATGAGAAGTTCATGCAAGCCTACGAGCAAAAATGGATTTTCCTGTAGATACAACAGCCCTGCCTTTAGTAGGCCTACTGTTTTATATCCATTCACCTGGTGGCTCATGAAGACCAGTAATATTGTCATAGAAACAGGCTCTCTGAATATTCTGAATCTCTAAGGCAGAGAAACAGCAGAAACAGAAAGACAGAAGAGCAGATACACAAGACACTTCAGTTAGTAAAAACAACAGGTTCATCAATTGCAAACAGACTTAACTGTGCTACAAAAGCAATTAGGCCACAACATATTCCATGCACATTTCAATTATCTGTGGAAGCAGCTTTTGAATATTTGGACCAAAACACTTGTGTGGGTACTCAAAAAGAAAGGAGCAGATGCAGATGCCCAACCAAAAAGTTCTTTATCTATTCATTAAAGCTGATCTCTGTGACTGAGGCAAGAAAGAAGGAAACTCAGTATTAACCTACGGCATCATCTTTATTACAAGCTTCATTTCCTCCTCAAATAACAAACTACAGGATTTATATACTGTGACATGTAAATATACTCCAATTAACACACTGTAGTGCTAAAACTAGAAAAGTCCCTGTTAAGTATTTATTTGGCTACTTCTGCTTCTTGGAGTATTCTGGTAAAAGTATTGATAAATACTTTCAGGTGATGTGCAGGTAAACTGGCTGAACAGCAGTGCACAGTTAAAACAGGAATACACTGCATTTGATTTTAAAATGTAATAGCTCAGCACTGCTATGGCTGTTAATGGAATTCATTTTAGGAGATGTGGATTTCCAGGGCATCCCCCACCACTGCACATGAAACAACTGTGCTGGTGCTCACATAAGACAATGTTTTATTAACAGGAAAAACCACTCCAGCTGTTCACATTCAGGACTCTACTGCAGCAAGTCCCAACCAAGAGTTTTGGACAGGATTCTACATGAAATTCAACTCAGAGTAACAAGTAATAAGTGAATATCAGTTCAAATAATGAACATGAGAAGCAGCTACTCAGAAATGGTACATGTGCAAGGGACCAGAGGTGCAACCCAACTTCCTTGTCCTACTTCTGGCACGAAATCAGAGAGAAAACGCTGTAGATATTTACAGTGCAGAGGGTGGAGGGTGAGGAGGCACAAAAAAAACTTAAAACTCATCCAGCAAGGTTAAATCACTACCAACACGTGCTCAGAGCATCATCTCTTACCATCCTTCCAGAGCTCAGCAACGAACTTGTCGGACGACTGGTGCAGGAGCGTGGCCACGTTGTCGTTCAGGGGGTCCATGTTCTTCATCAGCCACTCATCTGCCTTGTAGTCCACCTGCAGGGTCAGAGGGACAACCAGCTGCAGGTTGGTACTGGCCAGCACCAGGAACAGCTTTCAGATCACTACACAGCGGTGTTTTTCTCCTGTTCTCAACGCTCGTAACCATTAAGGTTGGAAAAGAGGTCCAAGGTCAGAGTCCAGCCTTGCTTGCCCACACCAACCTCGGGTGTCCATAGCTGGCCTCTTAAGAACAGCTCAAAGTACCACAAAAGGTTGTTATTCTTTTGAAAGAGTAAATGGGAGTTCTCTTAAAAATCCAGCAATCTTTTTGCTTGCTCGTAGCCAGGTGTACATTTGCAGCCTGGTGTTGTAAGGCTGACTGTGAAGACATAAAACCAACTCTAGGATAGATCCTAATTTTACTTATCTAAATCACTAGAGAATAAATTAATTTCCCCATAATAGTTATATTTAAACACTTTGTTCTATAAGGAAAACAAAGCTCTTATCTCGAAAGAACCAAACCCGTGGTTTCCAATTAAACCACAGCTCAGCAGCTGAAAACTCAATGAGAGCAACAGGGGTTTCATTCCAACCCAAAAGAGAGCCCTAAAATGCCCTAATTCCACCAAAACCTCTGTACAGATTAGCATGGCTTTGCTTCAATCAAACCAAAAGTTCTCTATTTTTGGATAAAGGCTTTGGCAGAAAAGACACATTTAAATACTTCCAGCATCCCAAACCAAAACAGATCATTATCTCAGGAGTTCTTGCAGGAAATTATTCCAGTTTTGAAGGAAAACACATTCTGACCAGAAACTGCAAAATGCCTTCTGTCAGAGGAAGCTCTGGAATGCCAGTATTCCAAAGATGCCCACTCAGTTTGGCAGAAATAAACCATTCTTTGGAACAATCATTTCCAGTAGCCAGACACCAAGCTGCTTTACTCTCCTTTGATTATTCAAAGGCAATCTATTAACTGCAGCAAGAGTGATGTCTGCATTACTCCTAAGTAACTGTTTGAAATATTGATACAACAAAATGTGTAATTTATTTCACTTTTTGCTACAAGTACCTAGTTGGCAGCACTGACCTCAACAAGGTAACAACAAGCCAGGAGTACTTGCAGTGAAAATTGAAGAAGAGCTCTGAATCATTCACATAATCTGATTCTTTCACTATCAGGTAAAAAATCAGGATTAAGTTTTAACCATTTATGAAAATATTTACAAGCAGGGCCTACAGAATATCCCTGGTTATCATGGATGATCTGCAAAGTACAGGAATTGCAGTTATTCCTGAAGCTGCACCTGAGCTCTGTCCCTGCAGCAGGAGACTGAGGATTGAGCCAACAGCAAAAATTAAAAGGTCCCATCTTAACTCTAAAAGAAAGTGTTATGTGAAGATGAATGTGGAGATGGTACTGACACAGCCCTGCTTCAAGCACTACCATCAACCTAACAACCCAGATATGCAAGAGATTCCTTTCAACAACGTCCTGAAAAAAAAACTCCACCTGTAAAACCTGGCAAAAAAAGGTAAAGGAAACCAAAATATATGCTTTATCTAATAGTAATTCATAATTTTCAGTTCTGTTCATTTGGTAACACAAGTTCTATAAAAGCTCTCCTGAATATGTTCAAGAAAATTAAACGAGGTAAAAGTATTTCTAAATTTGGTAGCTATACTGAATAATATATGCATAGATATATTTATTTATATATATATAAAAATGTAATATGCTATACTGCATAGCAATTTCCCCAAATCAATAGAATTTTACATTTAATCCTTACCTTCCCTGCATAGTGAATAATGCAGAAGTCTGCTTTGTCCTTTAGTTGTCTTGGTTTTTGGAACTTGGAATGAGTTCCTTGCTCTTGGACCAACTTTTCCACAAATGTCTTGTCAGTAGCTTTAGGGAACCAGCATTCCTCATCCAGCAGTGCCAACACACCAGGAGGATTTGCCTGAAATGCAGTTGGGTTTAATCTGTGAATATTTTTATATACATATATTTAAAAGTTTAATATTTACAACACACCACTGAATGCCACAATAAAATTAGTCTAAAATGATTAAATTACATTTCAGATAAACAAGCTGTGGGGCAGCCCAGGTCAAACAAATTCATTGCCATGTCTGTGGAGCCAGACATGACCTGATCCAGTGCTGACCAGAGCCTTGCTTTGAGCTGGGCCTGCACTGGATGATCTCCAGAGTCACCTTCCCAACATTTCTGTGACAGGTACAGTAGCTCATCCACATTTCCAGGGTCATGTCCTGTTTTAATGTGAGACAAACTCAACCAGTGATCCCTCCCTGCCCCTGGACACTCCTGTGGAGCCACTGAGCCTCCCCTGCCAAACCGTGGGTGGGTATCCAGCAGCATTCCCAGATCCAGCACAGCTTTGTACACTGCCTCTCCCCATGGAATTTAAGCACCCTCTTTGAAAGTTTATATTTTCTTAAAATGAAGCAGGGAACAACCAGTGTCTGTGTTTTACAGCTGCAGAATCATCTGTCAGGATTACTTTCCTCAGAGGAGACACTGAAGTACAAAGGGAAGCAATGGAAAAGGGCTGTAAGGGAGTTATACTTTAAAATTTAAAGACCTATCCTTAAAAACTTCCTAGGGAAAGCAAAGCCCACACATTTGAAGGGAGATGTTTCTACTACCTGGTATCACATTTACAGAACAACTGTGAAGGTACTGAGATTTGTTTTTCAAATAATGACGCATTTCAGGATGTTCACCCAAACGTGTGCACACTGAAGGCACCCACACGTGCCCCCACGAGGCTTTTGGAGGAGATTTCACCTTCCAAGGTGGCAGAACTTTCTGAAGTTCCACACACCTCTGAAAACTGAGACAAGATTTCCCCTTTTCTCAAAGGAAAACAAGGCTGCAGCTCATGGGCTTTTCAGCTGTTGAGGGTGCCCAGCATCGCTGGCAGCTCACCTGTATTCCAGAGCACACAGAGAAAGGCAGGGAGGAGTAACTGCAATGCCCCAGGGGGAATTTAAAAGAGGTTCAGAGGGGCAAAGAACAATAAACTTTCTGGGTTAACAATCCTTGTTCTCCCCCTCTGCTCCTCCTGCTCTTTGAAGGGCTCTTCAGCCTCCCTAAACTGAGCAGCCAGGGGAGTAAGTTAAAAGCAAAGTGATTAAAACCACTTTTAAGACACTGCTTTCCATTTACAAGGCATATTTGTGGGGGGAAAAAAAGGAAGTGTCAGGAATTTTGCTATTGCTTTCAAATGAAAAAAGTTTACCCCAAGTCTTGAAAAGGTTTCAATCCGAGCCCACAATGGCACAGTTTAGTGACAGTGACAGGATTAGTGACTTCATTAGTACTGGGGAAAAAAGTATAAAAATAGCAGCTCCATATCTTGAGCTCAGTGTTCTACACTAACATCAGGGCAAAATCCCCTCAGGATTAATCGTTTTGCTAATAATACACAGTGTTTTAGACTTTGGACTTGAGCATTCTGGTTAATTCCCTTTTAATGACAGCTCCAGGAGAAATATCTAATTTGCAGGCAGTAAAAGACAAACTCAGCAGTCCAACCTCACTATTCATGTGCAAACTTACAGGTCTTTCAATTAAGTCAATGCAAGGCTGCAGATCCAGTCCAAAATCAATGAAATTCCACTCGATCCCCTCTCGCTGGTATTCCTCTTGCTCCAGGATAAACATGGTGTGGTTAAATAACTGCTGAAGCTTCTCGTTGGTGTAGTTAATGCAGAGCTGCTCAAAGGAGTTCAACTACAAGAATAACATCAGCATGCAAGAATGAGTCAGTGACAAGATATCACGTATCTGGAAGTCAAAAAATTTGACTTTATAAGGAAATTCTCCAAAACTCTGCAAAGTTCTAATATAACGGAGAGAAAATTGGAAAACAACTACACAAATCTCTCATGTTCCCTGCTACATATAATTAAACTAATGCATAGTAGGAACAACCACCACACTTAAAAGAAGGATTTAGACTAAAGTATGACTTTTTGGCATTGTAATTTTGGGCTGTCAAAGCCTTTTTATGCTCCAAACAAACCCCTCCTGCAGCCTTGGAACACGCTGCATTCAGCGGCTCTGCAGTGGGTCCTGATCACACATTACCAGGGGAAAGAAAAACCTGACCAGCAGGATTTCCAAGTACCTCAAAGATCTCAAATCCAGCAATATCCAGGATGCCAATAAAAGATGCTCCCTGACGTTTGGTCCTGTCCAAAGCTTTGTTGATGCGGTGGACGAGCCAGCGGAAGAGGCGCTCGTAGGTGGCCTTTGCCAGAGCTTCCACTGCAAAGTCCGCCTGAAAAATCCAAACAGGAAAATTTATTTACCCTGGAAAAGCCATCAAAAGAACACAGACATGGATGTTATCACAAATAACTAAGGAAAAGAAGAAGCTGGATGGAGTTCATACCAGTGAGGAATGAAAACAAGCAGTAGAAGCAGTAGTTTGATTAATGGTAAGAAAAATTTCTTTTTAAACTGTTCCATAAAAACAAAAGGTCTCTGAGTATTTGATAATGTCACAACAGTGATACAAAGGATGAAAACCAGGAGAAGGTCAAGGAAAGGGAAAGGTTTCCTCTATTTTACAACCGATTTTTACCATAAAAGAACATTCCATAAAGACAGCAAAGCTTAATCAGAGTCAGTGGCAGCACACACTTCATCCCAATTTTCTTTGTTAGGAGCTAATCAGGATGAGGCCCAGCTTCATCTTTAAAACACCCAAACTTACTTGTTCTTTGGTCTGGGCTTTCTGCACGTAGTCCCTGCCCACTTTGATGCGGGGAGTCAGGATGGCCCGGGTGAACTCCATGACGTTCATTCCCAGCAGATGGCACAGTTTCTGTGCAACTGGAGAGCAAAGAACACATGAAAAGGAGCACTGCAATCCTCCCCAGCAGCCAGAGAGCCTGGGAAAGCTGCTGCTGCTGACAGAGGCTGTCCTGGGCCAGAGGAAAACTGAACCCAGCCTGGGGAGCCGGACACGAGCCCTGGGACAGACCCCATCACACCCCAAGGCTGATGGACCTCTCCAGAGAGACACAGCTGGATTTCCTTGGGGGAACATGGAAAACACTGGATTTCCTGGGACTGCAGGTCATGTCACAGCCCACAGCTCAGGTACAAGCACCCATTTAGTTACTTTACAAGGGAACATCCATTTTCTTATCCCCAGGAAAAAGTACAGCCTGATGACATCACACATCAAAGCCATCATACTGAAGGGTGCTTAAAACATGCTTCAATTCAGGCAGGTGTCCAGTGTAATGCCCAAATGTGTCACTTAAACAATGTAAAACACAGGTTTGTGATATTGTCTAGAGAGGTGAGGACTGCCCAACCCTGGCAGTGTCCAAGGCCAGGTGGAAGCTGTCCCTGCCCATGGCAGGGGGTGGCACTGGATGAGCTTTAAGGTCCCTCCCAAGCCAGCCCAGTGTGTGATTCTGAGTATTTCATACAGAATAACAACCCCAGCAGCAGTGCACTGTCTTTAACAGCAAGAAGCCTCCTGATGCCGTGTTATTATTTAAATAGTGCATTACCCACGCCATCCCTACACATTCCTGTTGCATCAACCCCTTTTTCTGAACGCACATCCCAGGAGTTGGGTGGTTATGATTTCCACATTTCTAAAAATGAACGTGACGCCAAAGGTATTTTTAGGGCTGGGGAAGTGTTGCCCTTTAGCAGGAAGCTCTCCACAGTCCTCAGTAACTGCTTAGCCCCTTGTAACCTGACAGCTTGTTGTTCTACTGTCAAAATGAAAAAAACCACCTATTTTTACAAATTAGCATTGGAAAATAAGAATTTTCCAGTAGGTGCTACAGAGTGTGCAGGGAAGGGAACGGAGCTGGGAAGGGGCTGGAGCAGCAGGAGGGGCTGAGGGAGCTGGGGGGGCTCAGCCTGGAGAAAAGGAGGCTCAGGGGGGACCTTCTGGCTCTGCAATCCCTGACAGGAGGGGGGACTGGGGGGGGTTGGGCTCTGCTCCCAGGGAACAGGGACAGGAGGAGAGGGAACGGCCTCCAGCTGTGCCAGGGGAGGCTCAGGTTGGCCATCAGGAGGAATTTACCCCTGGAAAGGGTGGTCAGTCCTTGGCAGGGGCTGCCCAGGGAGGTTTGGAGTCCCCACCCCTGGAGGTGTCCAAGGAAGGTCTGGTACTCAGTGCTCTGAGCTGGGGGACAAGGTGGGGATGGGGCACAGGAGGGATCCATGGGTTGGGAGGGCTTTTCCAACCTCAGGGATTGTGAGATTCTGTAATTTCATACCAGTTTATAAAAGCTTCCTCCGCATTTTTTTTTTTAAGTATTAAAAACACCTCTATTTGCTCTTAATATTGAGATTCTCTCACTGGCCACACATTCATTAGAGGGGTTCACGAACTGACACATGATCAGTGAAATCAGGGGGTGTCACAAACTGAGCCCTCCTTTCACTTCAGCTACATACAGAAGCATTTCTGTGCTTCGAGGATAAAAATATACATCAGCACATCAGATAAAACTTACTATCTTAGGGGTCAAGTAATAAGTGCTATCAGGATCTTGGAAAAAAAAAAAACCAAAAACAAAGAACTTGCAAATATTAAGCAGCCATGAGCATCAGCTTGGTACAGTGGCACAATGGATACGATATAAAGGATATTACAGTTTAAGGAAGGAGGGTTTTTTTCCCCCCTGAAGTGCTTCAAAACCACACTCAGCTCCTTTCCTGAACCAGTAGTGTGGAATTTTTGCCCCAGCCCTTCCAGTCTGTAATAAACTGTAGTTTAGGTAAGAATAACAACAGTAAACCATAGCAGATGTAGAACTAAAAATCCCATCTGCTAAGCCACTGAAGGAGGCTGGAGACAGCATTTCTGAGGATCCCCTGAAGGAAACTAACCCACTTTCAAGTCCAAGCTCTGTCACTTTTAAGGGCAGGACTGGGTCACACAATTTCAGCTTCATTCATCCTGCACTTCAAAAAAAAGCATCATTTATCTTAGGATGGTTTGGGTTTGAAGGGACCTCAAAGCTCATCCAGTTCCAACCCCCTGCCATGGGCAGGGGCACCTTGTTTATAACTGAGAAAAGACTCTTGAAAAGGTGTAATTGGACAAAGCCCTGACTATCCTGACTCGTTTTACTGCTACTGGGTTTTTGATATAACTTCCTGAATTATTACAAAGCCAAGATACTGAAAACCTCCCATCGCAGATGAACAGCAGCTTTATGAGATTGCTTATGAACTTCTGCCCTCTCAGCAGAAAGATTTCTTCCAAATCTGGTGAGCATGAAATGATTTTTTAAGTACAGTTTCTCCCTCCTCTTCATACACAAAGGTTCTATTTCTTTCTTTGCCTTCTCTTGCATCTGTCCTTGAAACCATTATTTGTTTATCTGCATCTATAATCTACAAGGCAGAATTTGCTTTCCATATTCTTTGACTCAGGTCACATCTCCACTACCCACACAAACTCCTTCCCATCCCTGGAGACAATAACCTGGCCTACATCAGACACCTCTAAAAGGTGAATGCCTGTCAGGACGCTGATTTCTGCAGAGGATGCAGGGAAACCTCTCACAGTGAGATGTGACAACACAGGTGACAAGGGAGAGATCAGTCACACCCAGTGTCTTCAGTAAGATGCAATAACAGACCACAAATCCCAATTTTAAAATACAAGAGGACAGAAATACGTTTTAACTATGACCTGAGCTTTGCCCCGTCTTTGCTTTATAATTCAGCATTTTGTATCCAGCACTATAAACACCCAACAGGATCAGAATATTTATAGCCAGCATTACAATTCAAAATTTAAGTCCAAAAACCAATGGTAATACAAGTGAAACCAAGAGAGTCAGGAAGCAAAAAGTATCTTTATCTTCTTACATGGACCAGGACTCAGATGAGTTCTCTAAGCCAGCAGGAAAAGCCTAAAAAACTAATCCCTCACCCAACCTCTTTCCCTCACAGCAAAAATCCAGTTCTCAAGCCAATAACTCCTGACCTTCACCTCAGAAATGAGAACAATTTGGGACACTGCAAGGGATCTCCATGAACACCAATTTGGGACAATTCCAAAGTGAGACAGAGAAGCATCTGAGTTGTGCACGTGCAGCAGCTCCTGTGAATGAACGGGTTCCCAAGTTCTCCAAGCTGACTTTCCATGAGAGCATTTAAAAGGTTGGTACTGAGGTACTAAATACTAAATAAAAACCTCAGCAGCTTTTTTTTTCGGTGAAGAAAATCTATCCTCCTCACATGGTGATTGCATTGCAGGCACTGACACAGCCAAGCCCAGCCACGCTGCCAGGCCACTCCAGGAATCAGTTTGTTCTAAATGCAGCATTCCTGTGTTCTGCCATTGCTCTGGGGAAGTTGTGCTTGGCTCCAGGGCTCTTATCATTGGCAACAAAACCGCTGCCAAGAACCAAAGCAAACAGACTGATTGAAGCGTGGACTCCTTCCGAGGGCTTAATCTTCGGAGAGGGCAATAAACAAGACTACAACTGAAATACGTGTTCCAGGCTTAGCAGCCATGCACTAACTCAATCCCCCTGATGGACACTTACATCTGTCTGCAGGATGAGGATGCAAGAGGGGAGTTTTAGTAACTGCCTGTTGGCTCCTCTCACCCCAGCCCTGGCCCCATTTTGGCACAGAACACTATCAGGGATGCTCAGCAGACTGCTCTGTGTTTTTCAAGATATGCACAGGACAAATGGCAGGAAGAAAACTCCAGCACAAGTCAGAGGAAGCCACACAGACGTGATCAACTCACCGGTGTTCTCTGGCATAGAGGCTTGATCGGTGTTTCTCTCCTTCTTAAAGGAAATGTTTCCAAATTGCAGCACTGAAGACACCACTTTCAGCATTGCTGTGTTAACAAAAGACATGTGCATCAGTTTATTGGAAGAGGGCTCAGCTTAGCAAATTTTTTTTCTGTTACTTGTGTCACTTTCCTTCCAAATTCAAAGCAGGAGCTCCGAAAAGAAATACAGTTTGCACTGTACTTTGGGCAACTGGCTTTAATTCAACTCTAGTTGAAGTTAAGCAAATATTATATTTTCTTCAGGCTCTCAATACACTGAAGCAACATTAAATTTGGTGACATAAAGTTAGCAAGTGTGTGGTGTGTAAGAGAGAAAAGCACACTCTGAAGATGCAAAGGGCTCAATAACTTACACAAGATCTCATCGTGTGAAAACCCCATGATATGCATGGCTTCCATTGTCTCCTGGAAGTTATCCTTGTCTTGTTGCCCAGGAATGGGGATGTAGCCATTAGATAAAAATCTGTAATTGTTAAATCCTTCGAGCAGCAAGTCAGCTGTGTTGGGGGGAAGGAAGAGACAGAAAAATAAGATAAAGGAATGCTCTTCACACCCACCCATACTCTGTTCTCTCTAAATGCCCAAACTCTGCTTCAAGAAAACAGTTCCTCAGATGTGCCATTACAGCAGCTCATGAAACCCCTAAAAATACAGGTGTGCCTTCCAAGCTGAAGGCAGATTCACAGACTCTCTGTATCAAACTACACAAGCTCTTTAATGCATCTCTGTACACAGAGCATTACCCCACTCAGATCTACCACCACCTCAAATCCCCATCTGGAATATCCCAAAAGGAGGATCTCTACTGAAATAGGAGGCTTAAGCAGAAATGGAGTTGGGAATTGATAATCACCAACATCAAGGGTGCCAAACACCAGCTTATCTAACACAGGAGAACAAAGAGGGGATCGACTCTCTGATGTCTGTATCTTCATTAGTTTCACTTATCACAACCCAACAGAAATTCCCAGTTACCAAGGAGGGGGAAAAAACTCACACAGAGTTGAGATAACCACCACAGCACTGCAGTGGTGCAGAAAGCCACTGAGCTTTAACTGTGTTTTGGTTAAATGGCTGCTTTTCTCCCCAGGGAACACTGCAGGTTCTATCCAGGGATTTCCAGCCAGAGACTGCCCAAACTGGGCTTTGGCATGGGGGAGACATTTGCTTGAAATACCAGAGTGGCTTCCCAGCACATTTGAAGAAGCACTGGAGTTATTTCCAACCAAAGCCACCTGGCTTTTCCTTCTTAGTTTAAAACTCGCTGTTTGGTGACTGAGACCAACCCAACCCTGTTAAACTGAAATAACAAACACAGCACACAGAGACTCTCAGCTTACACTTGAGGTGCTCTCCTGCTCCAGCCAGTAGTTGGTAGAAGATGTGAAACGTCCGCTCGTCTTTGGCCTGACGAACAGCACGAGACTTTTCCAACAAGTCTGGATTACAACTGGAGTCAAGGATCAGCTACAGTTCTTGGTTAAAAGGGTCCAGTGCAAACAAAAGTTCCCAAGCAGGCTATGGAATTACTTTAAGACCAAACAGAACTTTAGTAGTAATGCCCAGAGCAGCTGTGGCTGCCCCATCCCTGGAAGTGTCCAAGGCCAGGTTGCACGGGGCTTGAAGCAACCTGGGCTGGTGGGAGGTGTCCCTGCCCAAGGCAGGGGGTGGGACTGGGTGAGCTTTAAGGTCCCTTCCACCCCAAACCATTCTGGGATTCTATGACCAGACCCAATATGTACCTTTAGTGACTTTCAGTGAGAGATTTCCAGTTCAGACTGGTAGAAAACCACTTTTAATCTCAGCAAACTCATTAATCTCAGCACACCCATCCTGTTGCCTGCATTTCCCTGCAGTTCCCTGCTCTGTGCAGCCAACAGTTGTCTGGAATGGATCAGCCACGGTTTTGGTGAGAAGAGGAGCTGCCATCCTTCTTCTGTTAAGGGCATAGCTGAACTTTTACTACCAAAACCCCAGCAGCTGCTCAGCTCAGAGATACTTTGTCATCTGAAGTGCATTTGTCATTTCTCCCCAGCACTGCATTTTTCCACACAATCACCACTGCCTCTAAACAGCTCCCAGTTGTAATTCCTGCAGCAGGTAGTGTCTAATTAGCTGTAATGTTATTTAATTCTTTTATTTCTAGATATTCCATGTTGTAATGCAAATGCAGGACAGGGATTTGCAATGACACAGGTCACTGGTGAGGATGAGTTCTTGTGATGAAGAAAAAATTCCCTAGGAGTTAAATCCTTCAGTTTTCACAAAGCTCTGGGCAAAACAATTCATCTGAATTTTCCTAAAAGCTGCCTTCATTCCTGTGCTGTGGTGAATGAAGGAAAACATTTATCACTGAAGCATATTTTGAATAACTATAGACCTTTCCCAGCCTTATTGGGAAATTATACTTTGTGAGAGTTCCAAACATTCAATGCACTTCAGATGAAGCAGAACAAAAGCTTAACTGCAGCATTGTTTATGATCAATACCCACTTCATATTGTTTACTAAGACTTCCAGTTTCATCATTTTATGACCACCCTATTGCTATTCCCCCAGAAAACAGGCTACACTAAAAATTACACACACATTTTTAGTATGAAGAAAACAACTGCAAAGAAGGGCTTTCAGTGCAAGTGTTTGTTCTTGCACCATCACAAATAAGAACGAACCTCAGAGCTAAAACTGCATCAGGCTTCGGTATTCATTATAATTAATTAATTACAATGGTAGGTCTTGTGTTACTGAACCCACATGGGTGTCTAGAAGGCCTAAGAAGGCAGAAGGTGGCCCAGCTTTGTCACTTGATAAGGAGCATCAGCTCCTTCCGAGCTCTTGGCACAATGCAGAGGCTCAGCTTCTGATTAGGAAGGCGGTGGGGTATTTTCAGAAATGTTCACAGAGCAAGCACATTTTACAGGGTTTCCCTTTTTAGCACACCCTGTTTTTAAGGCCAGTCTGAAAATCCAGCAGGTTTCAGAGTGCTGAGCTGGGGAGTGCAGGATTTCTGAGCCGCTGAATTTGTGATATTCGATCGGTTATTTTGAAACAAAGGAAGAGATGGATGCTGTCAAAGGAATGTCCTTTCACTGCATTCCAATGAATTCTAGGGTTAAAAGCAAAACAAAGCAGGAAACTTGCATTTTGCAAGGATGTGGCATGAAGGAGGATACATGTCTCGATGTTGGCCCCGACAATGTAACCAGTAACATCAAAGTTAATCCTGATGAATTTGCCCTGCAAAGGAAAGAAGATTTTTTTCATGATTACTATTTTTTTTAATTAAACAATGCTGTCTATATAAAATACAATCCAAATGCATTAATGGATCAAGCATTTCCCAAGATCAAATGAAATCACTGCCCATCCATGTGCTCAGCCATCATTTCAGTGGAGCACACAAACACACTCTAGGGATTAAGGAACTCTTAGTCCAGATATGTTTGTAATCCAGATTTAGGACAAACTTCTCTGAACGTGAGGTTCAGTTCCTCACACTGAGGTTGGAAGAAATGCTGAGATTCCACATGTGCACATTTCCATAGCAAACTTATCAGTGCCTGAAGGTGCTCCAGCTGCAGCAATCCCAAATCTCAGGTTCTGCCCAGCCCATCACATCTCCCCTTCCATTCCAAACCAGGCTGGCTGCTCTCTTTTATGGCCTCTCTTCTCCAGCAGTTGGTAAAGAAAGAACTAAGAAATACACTCATTTCTCACACCTACATCTCAAATAAAGAGCCACTTCCCACATACAGAGCAGCTCTTGGAGAGCAGGTGGTTGCCAATGGATATATTACATCATTTTTAAGCCACATCAGTTCCCCCATCTGATTTGTCATTCCCAGCAGGACAACTGGCTTGGAGCTGGACCATTTAATCTGCACCATCACTGAATTTCCAGTGTGTGCTCATGGAGCTGTTCAGCACTGCCCTGGTTGTGTGGGAATTCCCAGTGATGACACTGGGCTCTCCATTTTCATTGCACCCAATTTCCACAGTCCTTTATCCACACACAAACAGGTTTGGAGATCAGGGAGCACGACAGAAGTTTGCTAACACCTGTCCTAACACTTCTGGTGGCACCTGCACAAAGCCACCTACTGATAACTTTTATGGAGCCCTTTGGAAAGCGCTTTTACAACCTGGATCCCAACCCTCCCTTATCTGCAGCCTGATTAGTGCTATCAGCATGTTCCAGTGAACTCCTGTTTGGCACATCCATTCAGCTCAGGGAGTGTGCTGCTGATTTTCTGATTAAATATTCTACTCTCCAAGCTTGTAGGGTCAGGAAGGACAGGAATGGTCCAACCTGGTCGGTGTATAATTTGGGGGGCACATTTCCAGGCTGAACAAACTGCTACATTTGTGCTATTGCAGCTCCTTACCAGAACTCCCTGCCCTAATAAAGCCCATTCAGATCAAGATTTATGGGCACAAGACCAAGTTTCTCCCCCCAGCCCTCTCAGTGAATGCAGGGAAAGGCACAACCTCCCCACCAGCCCTACCCTGACTCAATCTCAGAGCAAAGCCACTGCTCCAGGACCGTGGTTGTGCAGCTTCAGCTCAAAGTGTGGTCTCTGGGTTGCAAGAAAATTGGTGGAACACTTTAAATTAGCTCCAGTGGTTATTCCCTACTGTTCCAGTGTGGTTGTTGAGCCACTGGCACTAAAACCCCCATGCCAAGGAGCAAGGGTTGTTTCCAGGCATGGCCTGTCAGGGAGCAGCACTGCACACAGATTGCTGAGGATGCAGAGACACAACACCCTCAGCTCAGTTTGTAACTGCAGCATTTAGACTTTCTGCTCAGGAACAATTCCAGAAAGTTCTCTTTATAACTGGCACAAAGAATGAAATGACATTTTACTGAAATTCAGGCCACAGAGCAGATATATGATGCACATGTCAGCATGTCAACAGTGGCAGCAGACTTTTTACCCAGAGTTGGTACCACAGAGCCTTCTTGCCTTGAACTTGCCTTGTCACGTGTGAAAACAAACAAGAACCATTACAGAAGCTCTAGGCAGTGGCTTTTTCAGACATATTTTGGAACCACTTTACACTGTTTCGCTCTTAAAAGTTACTCAGCTTCTGCTGTCAAGTTACCAATTCCATGAGCAAAAATAATTGAGAGGAAATGCAGTCATTACACATCAGAAGAGGGGACCCACACGCTCCCTGCTTCAAAGTTCAGGCATCACTGGAGTCTGGACTAGAGAGATCACTTGTCTAGTTAATCTTCTTAAAAGCACAATATTAATAGATCCTTTCAGCTGGCACTGGCAAACCTTGCTATGAAATCTTTAATTTATCAGTTAGACTGCAGTGGTGCTCATCTAAGGGCTGAATTCTGTTGCCACCATCAGCCTTTGGAAAAACCACATCAGAAGGAAGCAATTAGCTCTGCCATGTCAATGCAGCAAGGCCACTGCCCTATCCAATGCAAACCAGAGATTTTATTTCCTGAAACACTGCCTTTGGTAGAAGAAAAAAGGGGATAAAATGAAATTCTTTGGACACCAGCCTTATTTGAGCCCTGTCTGGTGCTGTCAGTGAGCAGGGACAGGCTGGCAGCCTCGTGCTGCACAGTGAAGCCTGTCAAGCCTATGTGGCTGAACAACAGCACTTCTCACTTTGTGGGAGGATAGATTTTTTTTTTAAGTCAGGTTTTAAAATGGCTGTAAAAGATTATTTTTTTTCTGCATGAGATGAGACCATCTGGAATGCATTATGCTTGCTCCTTTATAAAAACAGGGCTGGAGCCATCGCAGTGATTATGTTCATGATGGCAAGGCAGCCCTCAAAAATAACACAAACCAGATGCTGACATCTTTTAGGGAAAAAGTATCCTCATTAAATTAGTCCAGCCTTTGATGGATTCAAGATAGAATTATTGTACAGTGAAACCTGTTCATATTATAAATCCTATACCCAACTTACATAAGCATCAATATTGTAAATAACATGGCTATAAAATTATCAAAGCTGAATATCCACAGTACTCTGCTCTCCCTTCCCAACTGGAAAGGCTAAGGGACTTAGTCATGGAGTTTTCCAGAGTCCTTATCACTGCAGTTGAGTTCATGCATTATAAATCCAAGCAACTGTTGAAATGTCAAAGGCAGACCAGAAATCTTTCATTTGTTCTGTAAATTTTAGTGTTGTTCTCGCCAGAAAAAAAAAGATTTAATACCTCCTATACAGTTTTGAAGTTATACTGAAAACATCTTCCCCCTGAAACAGGAGATGTTTTTTTTCCCTTCAAAGGAAAGGAAGTTCTAAGAAGTGGCAAAAAGCTATTTATTCCCCATGATTTTTAAAACAACAGAACCCATCAGAAGTGATTATCAGCCACCAAAACTCTCTGTGAACAGAAGGCACTTACCCAACAAAAACATCAACCAGCTACGGCAGTGCCTGACACCTGGGATAGGTCACATTGGCTTTTGGACTTCCCTGCAGTCAATCAGTAAATTTAGACAGGTTTTTATATGCAAGCTCTGTGCTTTTTTTGGAAATTCAGGATGTTCTCTTTAAACAGGCAGTTGATAAAGTCACAGCTATTGACAAGAAGCCTACAGACTGTGCCCAAGTCCAAGCTGGTGCCACAGTCTTTTCCACTTTATAGCAATTCAGCAGTGATTTGTGCACACAAGTCAGAGCTCAGCTCCAGAGCACAGCTGTATTTGTCAGACTATAAACAACTGTCAGCTCAAGGGTTGTTGAAGTCAGAAACTGCATAAAATGAAAGTTTCGCCAAGATCCAAGTGAGGATGTGCCTTCAGAATCCCAACACATCGCAGGAGGTACTGTAAGAGAACCTGGATTCATGGAGGAAGGGAACAGGAAAAGCTGTGGATACCACTTCCATAAATTCCTAAAAAGGTAATTTCTCCATAATGCAGATTTACAGACTCTAAAGAGAAAAGGAGTTACTCACAAAGCGGGAGGAGTTGTCATTTTTCACTGTCTTTGCGTTCCCGAAGGATTCCAGGATGGGATTGGCCTGCAGAAGCTGCCGCTCCAGCTCCCCCTAAAAACCACACAAGCAGAAAAATGAACAGATATGAGCACAGAGCACCTGCAACTGAGGGTATTCCTGTATTCTGCCTCTTCCTGACAGTCCTTTCCCCTGGCTGTGGCAGTGATAGCACCTTCACAAGGGGGGTGTCAACCTTCCCCTCACTCCTAAATCTGCCGAGACTCCTCCATCCAGTGCGGGGCTTTTGGTGGTGGATTTTTGGTTTGGGGTTGTTTATTAGAACACACACAGACACACACACAAACACAGCAGTGACCAAACAAGACCTGATGGATGTTGACAGTCACTGAAGATGGAAAAGAAAATTCACATTTAGGGCTGATGAAATTAGGCACAGACCTTGAGTGCTTCAGAGCAGAAACTAATTTAACTGTTTAAAGATTTTAGAGCAGTTAAACTTCAGGTTTAGTGACCTGGCAATACAGCTACTTTGGAACACCTGTTTTTAAACTCACAAATACCTCTTTTCAAACTTACTTTCAAATCAGTGAAAAACCCTCCCCCCTCAGTCAACCAGACTGAAATTCGGGATCGTTGCAACATCTGACCTGACCACACCTGAGCACGAGGCCAGCACGGCACTGCAGAGCTGAGCAACCCCAAATACAAACATGGCTTTCAAATTGCTCAATCCCACCAACATTGCTCAGTATGTTTAATGCTTTTTTTTAAAATGTTTCTGTAAATTCAAGCCAACGGATTTAGAAATCAAAGTGCTTATCTTAAGGAAATTGCACAACAGCTTTTACAATTGCTGTCCATGAGGAGGACTGGGAACAAAAAAAAGTCTGTGCTGCTTCCAAGAGCCCAGGAGGCATGAATGTACACAGGAAAATATACTGTCTTCCTGCTCTGAAGGATGGTTTAAAACAAAAAAAAAAACCAACAAAAAAACCAACCAAAAAAAGAAAGTGAAGCTGTCTGGAATGTAGTCTCAAAATGTGATGTCTGTGTTCATAAACCTGCTTTTTCCAATTATTTATAGCCTTGATGAATAAAGGTCCCAGACTGAGCATCAAAGAACAGGAAATGTTAAGTCTCTTAAGGCTTCCACATGAGGTCAATTGTTAGACAGGAATTCTAAAAATTCACCAGTTAACACCTAAAAGAGGCTTTTATTTGTATATTTAAATGTATTTCAAGCCCTCCTCGATATTAATGGCTGCTCCTGCTTTAATGTGACCTGAAGTTATCTGCTCAAAACTTGCTTACTTCCACATACATTCCCTTTGGGACCACAAATTCTCCGGATTCTGAAGTAACTGAAGAAGGAATAAATGTGAGTGTGAGCCCAGAGCACACTAAACACTGCTGAGGCTGCAGGGGCTGCGCACTGTCAGCTCTGCCAAGGTTACTGTTCTCAGAAGCACTTTTAAACTAGAAAAAAATCCACAGCTGGAATAAAACTAGATCTCTGTTATACCCACTCTGTGCTGTCTGCAAGTGATATTCTCCAAGTTTTCCATGTAAACACATCAGAGAGTGGGAATTTTCCCACCATCCCTCCCACTCCCCCCTCCCCACACGCTGCTCCTCAAACACACCAAGATGAAAGGGAGAAGCTCCTCACCCTGCTGTGCACAGCCTGGGATAAACCCCAGGGTGTACAGGAAAGGCAGCAGGGCTGTCACAGCTTACAGGGCAAACTCTACAGCTCTTCTGGAAGAATATAAATATCTCTATCATCTTTTGGGACAAGGAAAACAGCTTATTTGGGACAGGAGGGAGGCTCGTGCGCTGCTGGCACTTCACACACTGACACCTCTGCACTGTAATATCCTGATCCAGGTCTGAGCTGTTCAATTCAAGCCTGTTCGTACTGGAAAGCAATCTAACTTGCTACTGATTAGTATCTCTTGTAGGTTTGTTTTTTTTTAAAGACAAATTGGTTAGTAGATGTAACATTTTCATTCTTGCAGTTGTTCAAAAATCTGTGTTGTAATCATATTAAAAGCACAAGATTCCTCAGCATTTGAATGTTGAGAGTAAAGCCTTTTAAAACACTTGCCTGCAATAATGTGCAAAGACAAAGTAGACTGAGTAAAGTCCTCTTTGTGGCTGCAAAATGTGAAGGACTCCACACCGACTCCTCCATGGACATCGCTGTGTCTCAGGGAGCACCCACAGGCCACAGCCTGGCCTGGGCCTGTGCAGAGCAACTTCTGCAGAATTTATTCAAATTCTCCCAGTGAAGGCAGAAAGGACTCAGTAGCTCGTTTTTACAATGAGGATTTGATGGAATCACTCAGCTGGATCCTCACTGTGGGTGAACACCATGGGAACGAGCCCACACCAACTCCTCACAGCCATCCCCAAGCAAAGCAAACCTCACACCGTGGGGAAACCTCTCACGCTGTGGAAAAAGGCTTCTGCTTGGGCACTTTTCACGTCTAGATGGACAGCTTTACAGCCCAAAACAACTCTCTTTTCGAAGCATTCAGTGTTTTGGAAGGAGCGCCCCAGTTTGGCCTGTGGGCTTTTATCTCCTGCGTGGGCACCTCACCAGACCTTGGAAAAAGCAGTGTGGCAGCACTGTGGGGAAAGTGAGCTCATGCAATAGTTCATGCAGGGCAACATGAAGACAAGGACAGGTTGTTGTCTCAGTTTCAGAAAAAACCAGCATCCCAGTGAGTGTCTCGCAGCGAAGCCTGGGGGAGGCAGGGGAGGCCACATGCTACTCACATACAACAGGGATCCACTCTGGAGTTCAGAATGACATCAAACAGAGATGTTAATGATTCCATGGTTTATGCAATATCAACAGCTCTGGATTAGCATTTTGCCACGGACACAGTTCAAATGTTTGCCAACAAACGGTTCATGTCAACCCTGACACTCGGAGCAAAGGGAGGGTTAAAGCTCCGTCTGATTTTGGAACTGAGAAATATTTCAGTAAAAACCCTTAGACTGGACTGGTGTTTGCAAGGAGGGAAGATTAAGTTAAATGCTAAGAATGTCTGTGACTTATTCTGAAAATGAGACCATGGGCTCAGACACATGATTGGGTTACAGAGGTTTAACAAGGTTCAACACACACTACCAGAGGCATCGCAGCTGTCCAGGGGTCGCTTCTGGCTTCCAATATACCAGACTTGCTTGAAAGCTCCTTTACCATTTCCCTTTCCACTACAGTTCATGTTGCACCAGTCATCTCTCAGAAATGTAAGGGAAGAACACAACCAGCTAAACTAACTCAGGGCAGCTTCTTCGGTTTCCAAGCCTTGGTTACACCATGCCAGAGCTTTTTCTTTATTTAAAAGCTGGTGCTCAGGACAAAGGCACCACTTACCAGCTCGGGTTAGAGCAGAGCATTTATCCTGCAGAACACATGGCAACAATTGCTGATCTCTTTCCACAGTCTTGTCCTCAACTACCACCTAACCCTCCTCTTTAAGGTCCTTCTCAGGTAGATTCCAGAGCACTGGAAGTACTAAAACTCTTTCACAGGGAGGTGGGATAGAACAGACCGAGTGCTGCTGCCCCAGGGACAGAGGGCAGAATTATCTGCACAGGGGCTCCAGCACCTGAGTAAGAGCAGCTGAAGCTCAGATGAGGAAACATTAATTCAGATCCCACACTGCTCACACCACTTGGACTAGAAAGTCAGGGGAAACACTTGATTTCAGAAGATGTTGGTTATGCCAAGCCTTTGACACTTGAGATCAAAGTCTTTATCAAGTTATCTGCAACACTATAAAAATATTCAGACAAAACAGTATGTTAATCAAAAGGATTTTGTAGCTTCCATTAATCCATCTCTTATTTACCACTTTGTTTAATATTTAAAAAGTGTTCTGAGCTCTCTCAGCAGCACATTACCCAGTACACACACAGCATCCTGGAGATGGTTGGCTAGAGAGAGGGTGAACCTCCCACTTCAGGACAGGGTAACACCACTTTGAAGTGGTGACAAGTCCTTTGTAATGCTGAGAAACTCATAAGCTGCTCGGTAGTCCACTCTCCCAAAGCCAGTTAAATACTTACTAAATTCACTGTTAGCTCTACACCACTCCAAGGCTTCCCACACCACAAATGCAAACAGAAGAATACACATCAGTTCTCCTACATAACTTTAAAAGCATTAAAAAAACCACACTTGCCTGGTGTTTCACGGGTTTGGGTGATTCGGGCTGTTCATTGCAAACAAACAAATGATAAGTTAGCAAGGAATTCCAGCTGTCACATCCCACATTATCACTGTCAGAGGTTTAGTTTAACCGAACACTCACTTCATAGAAACCCTTCAAATTCAGCTTAGAAAAGAAGTTATGGCATGCTCAAAATACTGAGACCTGTGTTTATGCAAAGGACTAATTCCAGATTAAAGCCAAGGTGACAGATGCCTCTTGAGCAGCAGGGAAAAGGGCAAGAGTTTCACTACTTGGGCACAGCTCTCCAGTCTTGCCAAACAACAGTAACGAAATTAAGCTCAGAACTTGAGTCTCCTTCTCCTCAGCCCTGGGCACTGCCAGGTGGTTTGTATGGATGGGATGAACAATCACAGAGGTCATGAGAGAACAGAGAGGGAAGCAACACCTAAAGAGTCTGAGGGTTGTTTTTGCACTGCACTACAAGTATTTAAGAAATGCAAGCCCACAATCAAGACCAAAGCTTTGTTGCTTTCTTTAATTCCACATGAGCAGAACCTTAAGGAACTGGGAAATCTTCAGATTTTGCCAGCAAGAAGGGAAAAGGGAACACGAATGTAATAAAGTAAAATAAAATGCCTTCAAAATACAAATTTGCACAGTTTCTGCAGAAATTTTCAAATCCACTATTATTTCCCTGGGTCAAACTGCAAGTTTAATAATCTTGAGCTTCATATCAGGAGCCCAGGGGCAAATATTGTGAAGAAACACACAAGACATTGTTATACCAAACCAGATGCACTGCCCCTGTTTATGATTCTTATTTTAAACAACCAGCACTGGTTTAGTGCAGAATAACAAAGTTTGACAGAGGTCTGGAAAGCAGCGGGCAAAGGTTTGGCTTGTTCAGGTAAGTAATGTGAATTTTCAGGTAAGTAATGTGAATTTTCAAAGCTGCCCCATTCCTGCCAGGAAAACAAACCTGGGCAGCTAAAGAAGGTTCAGGATTTCAGTATGGAAATACCACTCCTGCACTCATGGAGCAAGACAGGCACACCCAGCAGCCTCAGAGGTATTTTGTTTGCTTCCCTTCATGGAAGATGAGCTGCAGTCTCGGGGTGTCCATTCCTGTCCTCACTAGAAACGGAACTGAGCACAATCAGACACGTGTTGAACTCTCTGTGGTTAAATCAGGGCAGATAAAGCTCCCCTGGGAAACTCCCACTAAGGGGAGTTTCAGCCTGAGTGAACTTCCCCATGATTCTGTCCTTCAAGACTAATTCTGTTTCTTTAGAAATTAATAAAACAAATTAAACAATTTAGCATTTCAGCTACCAAGGCAAACGCAGCCACTGGAAGGAATCATTAACCTGAAAGCACCAGTAATTAGTTCTAAAGTTTAAAATAGCACCAAAGTGAAAGCTGGATTTTAGTGAAAACAGAGGCAATTTGGGGTGGGAAGGTTTTGGGGAGACTTCAGAGCCCCTTCCAGTACCTAAAGGGGCTCCAAGAGAGCTGGAGAGGGACTTCAGACAAGGGCCTGCAGTGACAGGACAAGGGGGAATGGCTTCCCACTGTCAGAGGGCAGGGATAGGTTGAATATTAGGAAAAAATTCTTGGCTGTGAGGGTGGGCAGGCCCTGGTACAGGTTGCCCAGAGAAGCTGTGGCTACCCCTGGATCCCTGGAAGGTGTCCCTGCCCATGGCAGGGGGTGGCACTGGGTGAGTTTTAAGTCCCTCCCGATCCAACCCATTCCATAATTCTGTGAATCAAACTGAAGTCTGGTTCCATTCATCCAAACCAGGGGCACACAGAACCAGGATAACTGGCAGTGCAGACAGCACTGGCACATGGATGAAGTTATTTATAGAACTCAACAACTCCACACACTCCCACAAGTGAAAACTTCTACTGTTTTCATGTATTTGACCATGAATCGGGCCCAGGTACCTCCACAGCCCAGAGAAGCAGCAAAAGGGCATCCCCCAAACTCACCCAGCCTCCACAACATGCAAGGTCTTGGCAGTCCCTGGGCAGTAGGGCACAACCAGCACTTCTTCTGGAAAATCATGTATGTAATTCTTTTATTATTTTTTTCTATATCTTGCACTGACTTCCCTCTCCATCCAAACCCACAAAGTTTGTAAACTAAAGCAGCTCCTGAGCCTCCCGAGGAATCCTTGGGAGTGAAGCTGAGGGAGGCTCCCAGGAGCCTGGGACAGCTGAGCAGCCCAGCAGACACCAGTGAGGGTCAGCTCTGGGCTGAGGTGCCCAAGCTAAAGCTCAGTGCTGGTCTGTACAAAGCTGGTCCACGTGTGGCAGGTTAACAACTGAATAAAACACAGCCCCCTTCGTGCAGGCAAAATATTCAGCATTACTGGCAAAAATCCAGCTTTACTGGTTACCACCTCAACCCCTCATATCCTTTAGAACTCAGATTTGCTGGATGTGAAACTTTCACTTATTTCCAACAGACACCTTCCATCTTCCATCCCTTGCTATCCACCAGGGACCGTCCCTGTGCCAGTCCTGCCACTCAGCCAAGCACACAGCAGCCAAGAATTCAGGTTTACTCTCACCCCACCTTCGGTCTTTAGAAAAGCTCATGTTCAGAACTCACTGCCAAGCACTTCTCCCTCCCCTCCATTGATTGGCTCTAGAAAGCCCAGCCCCAATTCCCAATTTCAGGAATTACTGCGGTCTCACCTGGCTCTGCCAAATCCCACAATCACTAAAGTTTCTCCTCTACGTTTTTACCACCAGCAGCACCTCCCCACACTTCCGAGAGCAGTGCCCAGGACAACATCTCGGGATTAGACAGGAAATGAGACACTGGGGCTGCAGATTCAACACTCAAACATCAGGAATCATCAGTTTTAAGGCTGGCCAGCACTGTAATTCCAGCTCCTGTGGCTGCCATGTGTTATTGGCTTAATTCCCCACCTGACCAGGGACGACATTCCAAGGGCTGTGCAGGACTCTTCCAGCTGGGAACAAAGAGCTGTTGGGAAAGAAAAGCCTCATGGACAAGGAACGAGGCTGTCCAGGAGATGGGCAGAGCTCCCACATGATGCTCCTCACACAGGCTGAGCATTCCCCCACCATCCCAGCTGGAAAATGTCCCTGGGGAGCACGTGTGACACGGCAGAACAGCAGTGCTGCTCTCAGGTGTCAAACTGGGGCTACATTTGCTTGTTAAGACTTTTACTGCACTGCCAGGGAAAACAAATTTAACCCTAGATTTAGCATACAAATTGCTGCTTTAAAAAAAACTAATCAATGTGGCATTCAAACAGTCTCAGAAATATGCATGACACTGATAATTATCTGTAACAGGATGGGTACACACAGACTGCCAGTCATGGATTAATTTAACAAGCCTGTTTAGCATCTTCCTGTGCACAGGATAATGCACAGTTGTGCAGATAGGGACTGAGAATCACCACCAGCCTCTACAGCTCTCTGATGAATATGCAAACAGGAACAAATTAGGGCTGCACCTCTAACCCCTACTCTGACACTTTCCAACGTGAGCTGTGCAGGTTAGACATCCGTTATTTGCAATACAGAAATAAAAAGTAGTTGTTACAGAACTAGGGACACTCATTCCTACTTTCAAAAGTGGTTTGGTTACACAAATATCCTGCATTTTTCAGGGATATGTACTTAGTTCAGTGCTCACTGCATTGAATGATGTGCACAATCCAAGTATCAGAGTTTTATTCAGGACACCACCCTACTCTTTCTGTGTGTCTAAACTGTGTTTTAAGAACTTTTCTGGTCTTCATCATGATAGTCATTAATGGTTTATGAAGCAGCTGATTATAAAATCCATCTCTTGAGATGACCATCACCACCCCATCAGATCCCACTGGTCAGTAGAAAATAAGGCTGCAGTTTAACCAGAGACTTAAACGGAATCAGCCAACACTGCATTGAAAAGGGCACCTCATCCTGCCCTTCACTGATGTTCCCCATCCCAATCCCATCTTTTCTGTGCCTTCACTTCATACCATTGATGCAGCCACACAGACAGTGGAGGAAACTTGCTCCATTTGAGGTCAGATGGACTTCTTCTGGACATTATTTTTGAGCCTCCAAACCCAGTGAGTGGCCCCAGGAATTGCTGTGATGACAAATCTCTCATGAGGGTACTTCTGGCACAGCACAGGGAAGGCCAAACACACCCAGGGTACAACCAGGGCTTCAGGTGGTGAAGCACTAGAACAGACTCACAGAGGAGCTGTTCCATCTCCATCCCTCAAGATTTAGATGAGCTAAACTCAGCTTTACAAGGCCTTGGCCAATGTAACCTCACTTTGAAGGGAGGCACATTTTGAAAGGTGTCTGGACAAAAGGCTTCCAGAAGTGTCTTCCAGCCTGAGCTATTCCAAGTTGTCAATAGCATATTTAGAAGGACTTGGTATAAAAGGGCACAATTCCCTTCTCTCCAAAATTGCCTGTTGGCAATTTTACTTCTGCAGAAATTGAAAAAATTGAAAAAATTGGGAAAAAAAAACCAAACCCCAAAAAAAAAACAAAAAAACAAAAAAACAACAAAAAAAACACACCAAAAAAACCCACAACACTGGGTTTGTTCAAGGCTGTGCAGTGGTAAAGCTAAGCATATTCATAAATCAAACACTACACAGAACTTCTGATGGATGATGCCCCAGATAGTGTCCTCCCAGCACACCTGACAGTGCCATGAACACCCCTAATGCTGCCAACACTCCTAAGGAACTTCCTTGTGAGGCCTGTAACCCCCCCCCCCCACAACTGCAGCACACTCAGACTGCTCAGGAAATACTTAGAAAGACTAATTTTCATCTCTTCTGTGTGATAAACCAGCACCAGTTTGAACAAATATCAATGCACAGGCCCATGTTACCTGCTCTTGATTAAAGCAAAGCCTCAAGTTTTCTCACACACTTCATGGGATTTCTCCAGATTCACCTGCAGTCTTTCCTTCTCTCCCACTCCAAATCCTTGCTTTTTTTTTTTTTTTTTTTCCTTCACAGACTTTTCAGAAGTCATCTCCTGTTCTTCCAGGAGTTTTCAGTCTTGACACAATCAAGAATGTCTCGGCCTTAAGTGCTGTGCATTAAAAGTTGTTGCAGCTACAAGGGGAAATGGCCCTGAGTTGTGCAGAGCAGGTTCTGATCGGGTATCAGGAAAAATTTCTCCCCCTGAAAGAGTGGTCAAGCATTGGCAGGGGCTGCCCAGGGAGGTGGTGGAGTCCCCAGCCCTGCAGGTGCTCAGAAAACGAGGAGATGTGGCACTTGGTGATATGGTTTAGTGGGAGTGGACTTGATTTTGAAGGTATTTTCTATGATTCCCCAAGTCCGCTGATGGAGTTTGAAGGTTCCACCCACCACAGACACCTGCATTACTTGGAAAACCAGCACTGATTCCACCAAGCTGTTTGCCTGTAGCAAAGCTGAGCTAGGACTTCACTGCAAAGAGATCCCAGTGCTCATAACAACAGATATTCAAACCCATTTGTATTCTTATAAAGCAAAGAATTGCTAAAAATTCAGTGCAAATGTTGAAGCCTGGCAGGAAAACTGAAAAAAGTTCTACATAAATCAGAGCTGGTTTCAAGTTACCAAAAAATTCAATATTCTCTGACATAAAAGTGTATACTCTCTGTTTGTAGTGTAATAAAATCTGAGCTTTTTATTAGATGCTGACTTCTAGATATAGCAAATCTACAGCAGTTTTTAAGCTTGATGGTTTTTCCCAGTTACAAGTTAATTTTTTCCCATTTGCAAGTTAATTTTTCCAAGAACAAAAAGCTTGTTCGTAAATGTAGCACCAAAAACTGCATCCAGTGGGAACTAAATTCACTAAGAACTGCCCAAGTTTAATTGAATTCTTGGAAAACTGGGGTTTGCTATCTCAGAAAGCTTTACTACCATTTGCATAAAGCCTTTAATTTTACAACATAAATTTAACAGCTGACACAGACTGGAAATTTTAGTGTAACTGCTCATTTCAGCCACTGCTAAAGAGAAAATAATGGTTGAGACAAAATTACATGGATTATACATTACAGCTTATCTTTAATAAAAAAGTCATGATTTTTTAATGCAAAGATGGTAGTTTTCAAAAAAAGCAATTAAAAAATTGAGAAAATACCCCAACTTACAGGAATATTATGGTCCTTTCTTCCTTTATGGGAGGAAGCAACATGAGCAAGGTACTGAATGACCTTCTTAGTGTTCTCAGTCTTCCCGGCACCAGATTCACCCCTGCAAAACATTTCAGACATTTCCCTCAAAATTCATTTTCAACAACTTCTCAACCCTTTGTTTACAGCAGGCTCAGTTCATTCCATTTATGGCTTCAACTATGCAACAGACCTTCACTAACCACCTCAAACCAAACTGAAGTTGCAGGGATTTTTAAACAAATCCTACGAGGTATTTGTTTAAAATACTTTCTTCACCCCAAAGATCTCTGCAGCACCGAGATGTTGATACAACGGGGACCATCAGTTTGATGAAGAGCTTTTGGCTTTCTGCCTGAACTCCTCTGCCACCCAAAGTAACATGAAACACTTGTCCCCTGCCTTGACCACTGCAGACACAATTTTTCAGGGTGCAGTTACATTTATATTTTTAAGTCATGACATATATATACACACATTTATATTTAGCCTAATTTTATATTCCAGGATATGGTTATGGGAATTACCAAGTTGATGGAAACACTCAGTACCTTGAGGAGTTTCACAGTGCAGTAAGACACACTTTAAACAAGCAGATTCTTTCCACTCAGACTCTTCACAAGGTTAAAAAATATATTTAAGGCCACGGGGCTACATGAATTCATTAAAAAATGAGTTTATCAGTGCAGAGTGGGAGAGTTCACAGACAACAAGGACAGCACATGCACATCTCATTGTTAAGCCAGAGGTGGATTGAAGGCAGAATATGTTTAGACAGTATTTACTGTGAAGTTTACATGAGAATTGTAATAATGCGACCAAGTTCACATCCCTGCCATCAAAATGATGTTACTGCAGCCCCGAAAATGACAGTTGGGGTATGGTTTTTTTAAGCTAAGTCTGGTCTTCAGACAAATCCACAGCCCAAAGGGATTCAGGCCTGACTTAGGCATGAGTCAAAGGCTGCAAACCACGGGAGGAAGATGCCATTTCCAGGGAGACAGCGACTGCCTCGAGCAACTCTGAGGTGTGGGAAGCTAAAAAGGATTTTATTGTGGGGATTTGCATGGAAAGAGTGAAAGCACTCCTGTCATTCAGGAGTTGTTCAGAAATTAACAGTTTGGAAGCCAACCCCTTCGTAAGAATGACAAGCACACATTCTCTGTGCTTGGGTATTTCTCCACTAAGCTACTTAGAATGGAAATCTTCATTTTCCAGGGGAATTAAAGCACATTCTTTTGCTGTCTTCATAAATACCTTCCTCCAGCATGCTGTACATCCCAGTGTTGTAGCTAATCTGCATTTGCTTAGGGATTTAGTACCTTCAGACCTACACTTCTTGATCAGATAAGAGCTTAGCAGCACCCTCACACTGCACTCAACCACTGCAAAAATGAGATGATACAGCACTTGAAATTTAACTCTGCCTTTACAGAAAGGATATTGATTTTCAGAGGTTTTCCAGGAGAATGGGCTCAAACTCTCATTTCTTCTCACCTTCCAACACTTTTAAATCATGGAAACCCCCCAGGAGAATGGCCCCAGCAGAGGGGACCAGGGGCAGCAGGATGGCCATTTCTCCATCCAGGAGCAAGAAGTGACAGGGGCTGAAGCAGCTCTTTCATTCACAGCAGTTCACTGAATTCCTCACAAGGTACAACAGCCTCTGTCTGACCTGAAGAACAGCAGCAGCCCCCAGGTTTTGCTGGGAAAAGTCTTTAACTGAAAAAACTGGACAAATAATTCTTCAAAGATACTGTGGGATATTGCACAGCCTCGGTTACCAGACTGTGGCCTCCAATACGAGAGGGGAAACCAAGGGTTAACTCTTCTGCTGGTGGCATCTGCTCCTCAGAAACAACTACATCAGCCTCAGACCATTTTTCCTCCCAGTCATTGAAAAAAAACAGAGAATATGAGAGATGAGAGGTCACTGTACTCAATCACTCAAGGCTTTCCAGAGACAGAGAGGGGAGTTCCCTTGAAACTCCTCAGCTGGGCTGGCTTTGCTCAGTGCATGGAGAAGCTTGGAAGGTCCTACCTGAAAAGCTGGTTGGAAAGGAGATTACTCAGAGTTTGCTAATGGATAACTGGGCTTCCTTTCTGCCAAGATACCATCAATGTGCAACACAGAAACTGGCTGTACTTTGGGACCGCTACGAGTGGAACAACACCCTGCGACTTCATGAAAAATGCCATTTCTACCCAGCCCAGAGACTCCACATACAACACAAATGTGAACACTGACAAGAAGAAAACACACCCCAAACCATCAGATGTCAACTCTTGCTTCTCAAGTCTTTATTTCTCATTTCCCTTTTACTGCAGTGTTGCCATTAACATAATTTGTGACCACAAGCAATAATAAAAGCAGCTTTGCCTGTTTCTAGATGTGTATTAAAATATGCTAATGCTAAAACTATTCCAGCAGGTAAGAGAAGTAAGAAAAGAGGCACAGCAAAATATACATTTACATTTTAAAACAATACAATTTGTTCTTATTGTCAGCAGAGCTTGGGAACACGTTATTAGCTGTGCCTTTAAAACTAGAGAAATAATCTTTAATGTCAAATTACAAGAAGAAAGTTTATTAAATTTTGAAGGAGGAAAAATATTTCTATTTAAAATTAATTTTTATTTATTTTAAAAAAAAGTTTATTAAATTTTTAAAGGAGGAAAATCTACAATGTGCACTGAGGAGAAGTTGGTACAATAAACACAGCCCAGATGTTGACTTTGGGAAAGGGCAGCACAGGGTTTGGGAAGAGGCTCCTGTGGCCACAACCAGTAAAGCTGCACAAGCACAGGAAGGGCAGAAGCTTGCAATACATTCCTCCTGCTAAAAAGCCTTTAGTTTTTTAGAGAGAAGTCCTTAAGCAAGTTCTTATTCAAAAGCAACACTAAGGGATGTTATCATCCCAGTTCTGCTCCCTGGAGCTTACAAATATGCCAAATATTTCCTGCAGCACAGTGTCAGATAGCTCTGCTGCCATATCCTACAAAAGAACGAAAAGATTTAGGATAAAGTCCTTTGCATTTATAGGAATAATGACATCTGCATATTTTGGTTCGTTCCCAGGAGTGCAAACATATGGATTATAAAAATAAATGAAAATCTTCTACCTCTATCAACCTGCCCAAAAAAGGTAAACTCTCAGTAACACCATGTACTATATTTATGGAAAGGGGATGGTGTCACAGACCTAAAGCTTAACTTTTTCAAAACCTTGTTCTAATACAACTCAATATGTTACCATAAATTAAACAACTACAGCCTTGGGCTGAGAAAGCCTTGCCTCAGTCAGTGGCAGCTCTGCTAATGATTTCAACAGGGTCATTATTTCACCTTCTTCATTTCAGCCTCAGCTCCACTACTTGTAGAATCAAAAATGAGACTGAATTGAAACACTCCATGAGCTCCAGTCACGGGCTGTGCCAAACAGCGCTCCCAAAAAAGCAAATCCTCCTCAGCCATAGCCTCCAGTTGAAGGTATAAAGTTATTCCATCAATTAACTGAGGGATCTCTCCCTTGGAAGCAGGGACAGGTCAAAGAGAGTCTGACAGTCCCGGTAAATTTATGCAGTATCTCAAGTCATGCTTTTCCCTGGAACAGCTTCTGCTTTGAAGCAGCTCCATGCACATTTAAAAGAGGAAAAGCTTAGCCAGCATGAGCACTTTAACATGGTTTGAAATTCACTGCATGTAAAGCTGGAGTGTCATTTTCAGCAAAGCCAAGTCTTCAGGCAAATCTATCCCAGTTACAATTTGGTTACCAAAAACCAGGACTGACTCAACCAGCTGCAGTTTTTTCCCTGAGCAACTTGAGCCCAAATCTTTGTACAAAAGGCATTTCCACTGCTGAATAGATTCTCATCTGGAAAACAGGCAAAACATAGTGGGACAGGACTTATAATTCATAAAGCAAAGAGGCAGGAAGCAGGAATGGAAGCTGGTCTTCCAAATTCCTGAAGAACAGTGCACTCTTCCCACACAACCCATTTATAATGGCAGTTATTATTCCAGGAACAGGTCAAGTACCTGTTTGGGAAAGACCTACTCTAAGAGGAAGCAGCGCTTCTGAAGGAAAACAGCAGGGAAACAGCTGCTGTCCTTATTGCCAAGCAGGTTTGAAGCATTTACACCCCTTGTGACAGTGACAGCACCTCCTCCCGACCTGGCAAATGAGTTGATGGATTTTAGGGAAGCCAAATGAGTCTAAAATTGCTCACTGAGGTGCCACTGCACAGACAGGCCTCCTTCCACCCCCACCCAGAGAGCCACTAATTCCATGGGCAGAGCAGGAGCTTCCCGGCAGGTACAAAGTGCAGTGCTGAGAGTGACACAGGACAGGAGGACACAGAGCCCCACAATTCCAGAGAAACTTTGAAATTCAAAGACAGGCTTCTCTTTACTTTGCTACCTGTGCACAGCCTGCTGCTGACTTGACAGTGTTTGTGAAGATAAGCACGTGGAATGCAGGACGATGGTCAGATGCAGCTGGTGCCATCTGTCCCGCCGCAGATCATCTCTGTGATTTCAATTACTGAAAAACTAACCCAAATAACCCAGATTTCACAGGCTGGGTGCCTGGTTCACTCAAACCCTCTCCCTGCCCTAGGAGTTTCAGTCTAATTCTATCCTTCCTGATCAGTAGCAAGCTCTGGGATGGGAAGTTCACCTGCAAGCAGAAGGTCCTCCTGTGGAGAAGTGGCACCACTCCCTTGACACCTGGGCAAGTTCTCAGTGCCACTCACAGCTTCCATTTAAAGCAGCCGCTTACCCAAGGCCCCAAACCATGGAAATGTGCACTTAAATTGCCTGTAGGAGAAAGTAACTGCGTATGTAAGAGCCCCAACAATGGGCTTTTGTCCCTCTCACAACAGCAGTTGCAAAGAACAGAAGAGACACTTATTCTCAGACACAGCCGAGCAGATCATCTGCCAGTTACAAATTAACAGATATTTACAGGCAAGACCTGTAATTAAAAGGATGTTTTAATCACCTGCCTTATTTTCTGCAAGAGGTATAACTGATAGTTTGGAGGAGAGTCATTAATTGGCTTTACTATTTACGTGGCCGCT